CTAGCAGTTCCCTGTCATAGATGTCATAATTTCTTTCTGTGGGGTTGAATGATTGAGAGATGAAGGCACAGGGTTGCCACTGGCCATTGGAATCTTCCTGGAGGAGAACACCTCCAGTTGCATACTTTGATGCATTGGTGGTTATTGTGAATGGCCAAGAGGTATTAGGGCATTTGGAGGGTCAGTTGTGCCATGAAAATCCTTTTTAGGAGATTGAAGGCAGTTTGGCATTTCCCTGACTATTCCCAAGTGGTTGTCTTCTTGGTAAGGTCAATTAGGGGTTGAGCAATATCTGAATAATAGGGGACAAATCTCCTATAAAAGTTTGCATATCCTAGAAAGGATCACATGTCCCTGACCTTCTTCAGGACAGGCCATTCAGTGATTCCTTGGACCTTGACAGGGTCCATGGCAACCATGTTTTCTTTAATGATCATTCCAAGGTACTCAACCTCAGTCAAATCAAAATGGCATTTTTCCAGTCTGAGAGGAAGTGACAGCTCTCTCATTCATTCTAGAATGCAACATGTTCTTCTTTTATGTTCTTCCAGATCAGTGGAGAAGATGAGAAGGTCATCCATGTAGATGACCAACCATCCTTCTGTGATCATATCTCAGAATGAAGTCATTCATGAATCACTGGAAGGTGGTGGGGGAGTTGCACAACCTGAAGAACATGATGGTTGGTTCAAAGAGGCCTTTATGTGTGATGAATGCTGCCTTCCATTGGTCTCCTTCTTTGATGTGGATATTGTTATAGCTGGAGTGTACATCCATTTTTGTGAAAATAGACACTCCCTTGAGTTTATTGACTGAGATCTGAAATGAGGGGAAGGGGGTATGTGTCCTTCACCATATTTTTGTTCAGGATACTGGTAGTCCTGACAGGGGTGAAGAGAGCCATCTTTCTTTCTGAACAAAGAAGAAGGGTGTGGCTTGAGGAGACTTCAAAGGGTGGATCTTCTCTTCTTGAAGGTTTTCTTTGATGAACTTGTTGGCAGACTCTCTTTCAGAGGGAGAGAGTGGGTATGCTTTAGCCACCTTGGGGACAAAGTCCTCTACAAGGTTGATGGCATGATCATAGGGTCATGATGGGGGTAAGATCCCATCAAAGGGTTTTTCAAAGACCAAGGCAAAATCCTTGTATTCCTCAGGATGAACAGCTTTTGGCTTCTTTTTATGTTCTTCCTGGGCCAATTCAGTGGCCATAGTGATTTTTTGAAGAAGACTATTATTTGGATTAATCTTCTTGGCTTCTTCCATGAGTTTCCCAACTGACATCACAAAATGTGCCCAGATGGTTTCATCCTCTGGTTCTTCATAGTCCATGAACTTGTTTATCCCTTTCTTTTCAATGGGGAATATAAGATTTATGACAGGTTCTTCAACCACAACAGAAGAGATGTTGCATTTCAACTCTTTAGACCTGTCAGTCTTCTCATTGATAGAGAGAGTACCCATCCTCCAGTCAATCACAGGATTGTTCTCCTGAAGCCAAGGAAGGCCTAGGATGACATTTTCTGTTCCACAATTGATAACATGGAAGAAGGACTGATGGATGAGTCCTTTGATCCTAAAGTAAAGGGTGGTAGAAAACAGGATCTTCCCTTTGGAATTTGGAGTACCATCTGCATTTTTGGCAAGGATGGATTCTGTGAGTCATTGGGTGGGGATACAATGCTTTCATATGAATCCCCAATCAATGCAGGATATTTTGGCACCAGAGTCAACCAGTGCAGTAGTGTTGACAACTTTGTTGGTTCCTTCTGATGTGTAGAGCATAATAGGTATTTGCATAGTATGATCTGGGGTGGAGGATACTAGTACAGGTGCAACAGAAATGGCACTGTCCTTAGTGTGGGGAACATCTAGCGTCAACATAGAGTTCCCTTCTAAAAATCCTTTCCAAGTGCTCTAGCAATGTTTACTAGGGCAATGGAAGGACCAGCAACTTTGTCTTCATTGTCACTTTCTTCAACCTCCATGATTTTGCAGATTTTCTTTATCTTCTTTTTGGGGGTTTTTCCCTTGTCTGGACATTCTCAAGAGAGGTGTCCTCTTGTTTCCACAACCAAAACATCTTCCTTCCTTGATGTGATGGTCTCTCTCTTCTCTAGAGAGTCTTACTCCATCCACATCCATGGCATTTGCATCTTTTTCTTTGGTGAGATTGTTCTTGGGGTAGAATGTTCTCTTTTCCTGCTTTCCAGAGAACTCATTTACCTTCCTCCATTTTGCATTGAACTTTTGTGCCTGTGCATACCACTCAGTGATCTTAGTGGGAGTGGTTTCCATCATGTGAATGCAGTTTGTGATGAATGGTTTGAGTCCTTGTGAGAAGAACTTGATCAGGGCAATGTCTTCTGTGATAGTAGAGTTGGCAACAGCAGTTCAAAAGTTGGTGATATATTGTTCTACTGAGTCTTTCTGTTTCATGGTACACAATTTAGCAATAGCAGTACCAGCAGTGTCTGAGGAGGTGAAGGAGTTCTTAAAGTCCTTCATAAAATTGGTGAAAGAGCCAAAACTCAGGGGGTTCTTTTCCAGAGATGTTTTCTGGAAGGTAGCTGCCCATGAATGAGCAACACCTTTCTTCATATATGACAATGCATAGACAACCTTTTTGGTGTCATTGTCATAGATTTCTTCATTCACTAAAAGATAGGTCTGTACAGGAGTACAGCCAATTCATAGTGTTCTTTTGGTCACCATCAAAATCAGATGGGGTGCCAATCTTCAATTTGGTGGCTTTGGTGGTGACAGCACCAACCATTGCCTTCAACAATGCACCAGACATCATAATTTGGGGAGTGGGCAGAGGTATAGGGAAGGTGGTGGTGGGTACTGGTGGGATGGGAGTACCAAGCAAGGTGAGGGACTGAGTGAAGAGGTTCAAGAGGATACCAGAGGTGAATCCTCTATCCAGTTGTTTGGGTTCATTGGAGGAGGTGTCAGTGACAGTGCTCTCCTGTTCTTCATCAGCTGATGATTCTTCATGAGTGGGTCACAACAGCACCCAACATCAGTTATTTTGGGGGTTCATGGTGGTACACTAAACAGTGACCAATTTGGCCAAAGGCTGGTAGACTTGAGCTTTTGTTATGCTTGACCAAAGTCAAGATGTAGGGAGAGGCACAAATGCAGACTATTGGTTTCTACTGAGCAACAGCTGCAGTAACCCTTGTAAATGACAAAGGATTTACTCAATGCTGGTAAGAGTGGTCTGGGTTAGGGACACTGAGGGTGCAAGTTCTGAGAGAACACTGCATATGATTGAGCAGCTCAAGTCTGGGTTTCCAGGACTTGAGCCAACTGACTAAATACTACACAAGAGACAGACCATGAGGCATCCACATGTAATGAGGTAACTACACCATTGGTTGAGCAATGGTGAACACATGTCCCTAAGCATGCAATGAGCAAGTAATGCTAGTGGTGGGAATAGTGAGCTGTTGGATCAGAGAGAAGACAGCTCAAAAAGGAAAGATAGTCCATTGGATCAAACATGAAGTAAATGTAAAACAAAAAGAGGAAAACAGGAGTGAAACATAACAGGTGGGAGTCTGGAGGCTAGTAGGAATATGATGGAGAATGTGCCCCATGTGCATGGGAAGTTTTCTGTGGATATGGAGGAGTTGATGGAGGTGTTAGGGTGGTGTGGTGTCAGTGACAGGGGGAAAGAGAAATTCTGAATTAGTCTGAATTTGCCTGGTTTACCTGGCTTCAGGATCAGGGCTAGCAGTGATGATTGGAAAGGTCCAATCAAGGGTTGTAGTTCATTAATTCTGAAAGGGCTGATGAATCTCCCCTTGGTTATTTCTTTATTAACAATTTCTTTGAACTTATCTCAGTATGTATTAATGGAAATGTTATTAGGGGGGGACTGGGTATGCAAGATTGGGGGGAAATCTATGAAGCAACCATTTTGTAGGCCTTCTGGTATTGATGCGAAGTGCTGTGGGCAGTGCAAGCCTCAGAGGGCTCGCTCCTAGGCATCTGCTCTATATGGGGTGATGGGATGGAGCCATCTGAGCTCAAGGGCATTTGCTAGTGCTGTGAGTCACAAGTCCACAGCCAGAGCAAAGGTGCATGGAGTCATGTCACTCTGAACAGCCTTCTTCATGTTGCCATCTTGGGCAGAGGTGGAGACCTTTCCTGGAGTAGAGGACTCTATGTATGTGCTCTGAGAAGGTATCATGTTTGTTGTCCCATTTGCAGGGGGCTCAGCATTCCACAACTGGGATGTTGTGGCACTCTCTGCTGAGGCAGACCACACAGACTGGTAGGGGGCCTGAATCTGGCTGGCTTGTTGATGTATGAAAGGGTCTGTGCCTCTTGTTGAAGTCTCCTGGAGAGCCAGTAGGGGATTGCTGATGCTTGGTCTGGGGGTATGCTCTGGACACAGTTTGGTTGTTGAGACTGGCATTATACCTGCCAGCAATCTGTTTGTAAGAAGGAATGGGGGGGGGCATGTAGCCATTTTGCCCAGCATGCAAATGTGTGGGCATGTAGCTGTGGGGGGGTTGGGGGTGAAAGGTGTGTAGCCATTGGAGTTCAATGTGTAATCAAAGGGAGGTGATGGCATGTAGCCAGGGAGAGATTCAATGTGTAATTGGGTGGGGTGGGGTGTGAGATGTGCATTGGCCATGTTCAGTGTCACAGCCCAGGGTCAATGCCATGTGTGGGGGGAGGCATGCAGCCATGAGGGAGGTAGTATTAGAGGGGAGAGGAAATGGTGGGAGAAGGGAGTGCACAATTGTCAGTGGTGCTGCTTTTTGTGCTATGGTAGTGTGGGAGGGAGGACTGACCTGTTTTAGGGACTCCAGTTCCGTGACTTGTGCTGAGTGTACTAGCTCATCCCTAATCTGCACTAAGAGTATTTCATTGATGTGCACAATGTTGAAGGATTGTTTGGTGTTGAGCATGTTGTGCCATCTTCTGCATACTCTGGCTTGGTAGATGAGCAAGGCTCTCTTGCTTATCTCACAGTGCCTGTGCCTCTAGGGATGGTTCTCAAGCACCAGCCAGAATTTGACATGATTGCTGATGTTGTCAGCCTCCCAGTTGTTCTCTTTCATAGCATTGGCTAGTCTGTGTGTGGCTTCTGAGAATTCTTCCCATGTAAGGTCTTCATCTTTGGTGACCATGCCTTTTGCTCAGGCCAACACTAGGAGGTACAAAGGAGTGCAGGCCTTCTCCTGTCTGGAGGAGGGTTAGGGTGTCATCATCTGTTGAGCAGATGGTCAGCTCTGCATCACATAGGCCTTTGTTTGTGAAATAATAGAGCTTGATGAAATCTGCTTTGTGGAGTCTTCATGCTGCAACCTGGGAGGGGATGATGATGGAATCTGTGGGGACTACAGTGTCCTGGGGGACTGTGACATATTTGCAATGGTACTTCTTCTTCTCTTCTTGTAGCACTAGCTCTCATTCTCCCTCATGCTTGGTCTGTTGTCTCTCTCACTCTTCTTCTTCTAGCCTCACCTTTTCCACAGCTTCTTGTTGTTCTAGGAGGAGTTGACAATCCCATTCCTCTTTCCCCAAGTCATTGTTCAGCATCCAGTGAAGGGCTAGCTGGGCTGCTGCCACATTGTGGTTGACATTGTCATTTATGAGGTGTTCTCAGGCTTGACATTATTTCTCAGAAGAGAAATCTGGTTGGACTGCTAAATGAGGGTTGTTAGCTGGTTTGGGCATGGCAAAGAAAAGAGAGACTAGTGTGTGGCTCAGCTGAGCCTTGAGGTGCAAGTGGGAGTGCAAAGGAGAGAAGTGACAAGCTAACTGCATTCCCTACGTGTAGACTATATTCTCCGTACGCTACGTGCCTTCGCTACTGAGAATTGCCATCAATCGCATTAATGGGGAACATGACTCGCCCGCCATTTTCTGGGAGACATGCAAACGCGATATAGGATTCTTAGACATGCCTACAGGATTGGCGTGAAACTGTCGTAGGAGGGTTACTTCATAATATCTCATTGGCTGACGACACCCTTCTGTGTACTCATCGCACTGAACCTAGCTGGGCATTACTACCACGTCTATATCGTCCCACCAGAATTCGTCAACCTCTCGTTCTCGTCAATGGCAGCGGCTGCTACGCCTCCAATGGGAACTTACTCTTGGACATCATCCACGCACGCATGTCTCGATGTAGGATGCACGGCCAGAGGTACGTCACACCACTTCTCCCTTGGTGTGGATGTATACTTGACGTCCAGCAGAGCGCACCTCACTGTCCGCATATGTAACTATTGCATGCTCAAATCTGATCATCACTGTTTCCGTGAGTCCCCATTGCCCTTTCCCGTAACTGATGACACATCACGTGTAGTGTCAGTACCTGCCTCTGGTTCAACAATGCCGAGTACTGGGCGTCTGGTGCACAGGGATCCATCCATGCGTAGGCCTATAAAACGAACGCCATCTCGTCCTCTTCATGTATGTGTGCATCTCTTCAACTTGACATTCCATGTCGCTGATGCGAATGGTTGTGAACCGTTGCTGACGTAGGGCATACCTCGTCCTTACCACCTCCATTTACACCATTCTCGGATTCACGCTTGCCGTACGACCCTTCCCCTCTCCCCGCCTCCTGCCTCATACTTCCCTCCTCGTCAACACCACCATAATCATGTCTCTCTATCAGCTCTGGACTCCTCACTCGTTTCTTCTTTTTCTTCATCGCGACTTATATTCTCTCTTTTGTTCTCTCCCCCGCCAGTCGTTGTCATGCTCGCTTGGCACTTGTGGGGGGTCGCCTGCGGTGAAACCGCTGTCGAGGCACAAGACCATGGGGTGTTTGCGAAACGGGCTAAAGAGAGGAGCGATGTGCGTTCCTCTTCGTCACGTTGAGCGCGATCCGAGGAGGGCCGTGGCCCGGCAGCGTTTGTTTCTTTGTTCCTCGTACTTTGAAGTCTGGACGTCCTGTCCGAAACCTAGACGGATAAGGTGAATATTGGCACGGTGGCGCATGTTCCACGTTCGGTCTCAACTCTCGAAAATGGCGTAGCACCTGACCACTCTCTGACGCAATATTTCAATTGCATATTCGGTACTTTCGAAGTCGCTGCCTCTGTACCAACAGACGTGAAAAATGTTTGGTGATGTATTTTGAAGCCTATTAGGTGGATGAGCTTAACTTTGTTGTCATTGAACGTGCCGTTTGTTTCTGTATTCAGTCTCGACTCTCACCTGACTGCTCTCCGTGACACAATAATTTGGCTGCGTATTCGCCCACGGATGACTGTGAATGAAAGGGAACTAGCCGAACGGGATTGATCCGACCATGCTATACCGGATGGACTCTGGCCAACATAAAAAAGCAGCCCAACTCTTGCTCATTTACCTTCAGTATACTTAACTACCAAGTCAACGACCATCATGTATGAGCATCTCTCGACGAGTTTCTGTTTGGGGGCTGATAATCCTCCTCTTCCCTAGCATGGCTAGTCTCTACGTTGTGCCTCTTATGCTATGCCGGGAATCTCTACGTGGCTGTTCTCACTATCCAAGTCGCCAACGACGACCCCATCAAGTATCTAGAGGGGCTTCCAGCAGTGCTAATCTAGTGATCGCTATGAACTGGGCAACGTGACCTGCTGTCGAAGATTGCTTCATCAAGGTCGGTCAGCTGGGCGGAACTGTGTACTGATGTGCACTACTTGATGGTCACACCCTAAACGGAAAGTGTATGCTGACTTTCTGTGATGAACCATGGGTATAGCTGATGAAGGGTTCTTTGATCAGTAAAGGCTCATCGAAGCCAGCTTAGCCAACTTGGATTCTGGAAGTATGTATTCTCAGGCTCTGTCTTGGGGATTTTATTTTTTTCATAAAAATAGCAAGGAAAAAAAAAAAGAAAAGAAACTGAATTTTGTTTCTTGATTCCTAAGGAAAAGTTTATCGAAATGGGTGGTATAAGAGGCATAGTCAGTGTCCCCGTGTAGCTAATGGAATGCAGGACACCGATGTCATTACTCGGGGGTCGCGACTACTTTGCCACTCTGGAGGTGGTTTATTATCTCGTTCTCTCACTTACCCAATCACGTTCGTGTGTTATGGGTGCCAGGTTCTACTGAATATGAAAGAGATGGGGATTTGGATGTCACATTGTGCATATTCGGGGATTCTGAGCAGTAGTTGAATAAATCCTGATGGTGCCTATACAACTGAGGGGTCCTTGCCAAGGAAATGGATCTGGATGCCCGTACATCGAGGTGTGGGTCGTGGAGCGGGCGTACTGAGGGAGCATGTGAAGTCGAGGATAAAAAGAATAAAAGAAGGAATTTGTGGACTCGACGGAACTGACAAACTATAGACTGGATGTTTCGTTTCGTCTCTGTTCGGGTCTTTCCTTGTGCACCGCTTACGACTAGCCTTTGAGGGCAAGGGATAATGAGGAGTCCCACCAATGCAGCATGAACTGAACATTTATTCCTAGCGCCTAGGTCCGTAACCAGAGGGGACGTGGCAAAGACAACATTACTGGATATATTTCATGGTGTGGTGCCTATGTTTGTTCAAGCAGTAACAGAAAAGATGACGACAGGTATCATAGCAAGAACAGGGATGATAGTAGATCAAATACATCAAACATCGTAGAACAGACCTGGCTTAGCAAGCGTTCTAAGGGATGCAGATTCGGCATCATTGCCATCTCCCCTAGCCGCTTCCTTGGGAGATGCATTGAAAGTCATCCAGTTGGATTGTCGTGGTTTCAATCCCAATCACCATCGTTGAAGGACCAAGTTGTGTTCTTTCCCGAATAGGGAGCGAGCCGAAGGTGATTATGGACTTGAGCTCCAGCGAAGCAGGGGTTGAAGTTTCTTCAGTGCTAATGCGGAAGAGGAATGCGACAACTACGCTCAAGTTCGCCACAATCAAGCTAACTGATACCTGGAGAAATGAATGCAAACGGTTGAGTCTACTGCACTGGAATGGTTGACATGGCTCAGAAATATACCTCAACTATGGCAGCTAAGATTACTTTCAGCCCACCGTCAGTAAGCACGTAATATGCATGGACGAGGCTGACGATAGTGGTAATAGCAGATGTCGAAAACACAGACAGGAGCCGGATCTTCTGAGCCTTTGTGAGTCTGACTTTGTAAATCAGACGGAATGGCGCTAGTATTAAGATCATGTCGCTGAGCACGTCGGCTGGATGGAGCAAATTAGACGTTCCATCTCGTTTGCGCTGCACAGTGCACGCAACAAACTCACTAATTATCTGCGCAATTGCAACGTTCCTACCTATGTCGCACTGAGGGCGTGGTTGTGTTTTCCAACTACTTTCTGCTTCACAGGTCCAAAAAATTTGCGCGCCAAGGATCATCCATGCAAATATAAACATGATGGCGGTGCGTACTAGCCAGCTCCGTAGTGAGCCAGGGAAAGTCAATCGCACGACCGTGAATAAAATCGAGATCCTGGATGACCTAGCACCATGCTGAGATGGCTCGTAACAGGAGAGACAAGATTGTTACCGCACCAAATGATTGCATAGAAGAACTGTGCATTTCTGTGAGATATTTTTGAGCTTGCTGCGGCACTGGTTTGTGAAAACAATTACATATAATACAACGCTACCCTTGTATCTTGAGGATATCGAGCTATCGCAATGCAGAGTCAGTGAGATCTGTTCTGGCTCTTGCAGAAAAGGCGACGCCACATCACCATAGTCACGTAGGTACAACCAGTCAACTACTAAAAAACTGACATTGAATACCATGGCAAGTGTTGCCCATGCATCGTCTAGCCAGAGATGGCCTTGTCGCATTCGCAGGAACAAACGGAATGAAGTGACTACTGTCGCAGCAATGGGCAAGACCATATCGACAACTTTAGATTTGTCAGTGGTGTTCTATTAGAACAGTTCTCAGGGCCGCTACCTTCAATTTGTTGAATCGTTGGCCCAGAGGACGACATGTTATGTAACCCGGGAGAGGAGAGGAGAAGATGGAGAGGGCTTAGTTAGAAAACCATACCTCTCTTCTTTGTAACACGAATCACTTCCGGCTCCACTTCTCTCCACTGAATCGCCCTGTGTCTGAAACATCAACGCCGCTTATGCTGTGCGCATTAGTTACGGCCCCCTACGATCAAAATAGATGGAATTGATGAATTGATAAGCAAGTGACAGTCTGAGCTGTAGACTTCTCTCTAGACATGGAAGGTTGCCGGAGTGCGCGCTCGTGGCCTCACCCGAAATAAACTTGCTCCATAATGATTACATAATAACGAGCCACTGTCAACATATCCGGACGAAAAATGCCTTCCCTACGACCCATCCCTTCGGAATATAGACTCGGTTGAGGACGTTTCCCCATCACGATCGGCCCAGTGGTGTTTGCGAACCTTCTCAACGAACCAAGCAAGTGCCAATAAACCATAGCATAAGTTGAGAGTGTAATATTTATCCTACTCTGTATAGCTTCACACAGTTTATTCCGAAAAATTCGCAGGTGGCAGGTGCGTGTGAACTGCAAATTTTGAGTCGGCCACCCAGCCACAGCGGCTCGCCTTCGGCGGTGGGGACGGCCGTTCGGAGTGTCTGACCGCTCGTGACGGCACCGGCATCGTCGATTGGGCAGGATGGCGTCGGGACGCGGAAGCAAAATGTTTGGTGGTTAGCGGTTAGCAGAAAATAGGACTTATGTTCCAAACAGGATCCGAGCGGAGGGTCGCGCGAACCTCGACGTCAACTGTCGCTTAGACCCCCCAGCCTTGGCAGACCACGGTCGTGGTTCCGTAGCATAGTATAATATTAGTATGGTATGTGTACTGCCTACTGTACTTATTGAATATGATGACCCAGCGGCTTGAGACTGCTCGAATTCCTGTGTGGAGATTGTGATCACTCAGCACTCAGTGTTCAGTGCTACTCAGTGTCCAGCATGTCCAATGTTCATTTAGTCATCATTCCTGCCTGGCATTGGACTGCAGGGTTGTGCAGGCATCATTGATTGACTTGGCACCAGCTGATGTCCATGTCTACAGTGTTGATTCCACCTGCTCAGTGCTCAGACCTCCATTTATGACATTTTCACATCAGGAAAATAACACTTTACTATTTTTGAAATTGTGACTAATGTGACTTTTGGGAAGGAATCTACTATCATTACCCATGTCCCGCAGGCATGGCCACACTTTTCTTGCTGATTTTGGTCTTGTTCAAACCACCTAATTCATAGCTTTCAGTAGATACCACATACATTCAAATTGATGGAGGTTCCAAAGAGATATTGTGATTTTTCTCTCAGACAGTGTGCATCACACCAATGGCTCAATATCTCTGAATTTTCAGACATTTTCTAGTCTTCTTGGCTTAGATATATCATCACTTAGTTGTCTCAATAGATTCTGTTCTCTTTTCATTCTTCAAAATGCTGTATATGGTCAAAAAAAAGTACAGATAGTAGGTTCCTTCCCAAAAAGTCACAAATAGTCACAATAGTCACAAAAAAGTCAAAAAAAAAGTCACAAAAAGGTCAAAAATAGTAAAGTGTTAATTTCCTGATGCACAAGAGCATTGCAGCAGACCCTACAACTCCAAATCAATTTTTAAAGTAGTGGGAAAGTAGACCTCTAATTTGTGCAGTGTACATACAATATGCATATACAATATGCATTCATGAGTTATGCATGTACCTGTGTGGCAGTGTGAATTGCCTAAACATACTTAGGGCCTGTTTGGTAACACAATTAAGTCTGATTGAAGTGAATTTGAACCCTACCTAATCATGAGAACTTGAATGAAATCTCATGGTCACAAGTGTGGCATGACTCCAATTGTGGGAACACAATTGAATGAGATTGGATTTTGCTGATCATGCTGATCAGATTAGCCCCCAATGTCTCCCTCAACTTCAATTGCATGACAATGGCAAACTACAAAAGAAAAAGGCAGCATTATGCAGAAGCATCAATGTGTAACCATCCTAGCTACAAGAGGTGGTGTAGTTGAATCAGAGATAGATGAGTAGTTGCCCTAGCTGCAGGAGCTGCTGCTGCTGTCACAACTCTTTATGCAGCTTCACTTGAGAAAACTCCCAAGCACACTTCTGTTCTGACTGGTCAGAAATGGGTAGATGAGATTTGCACTGGCCATCCCCTGCAATTCCAGGAGAATATTGGTATGGCCCAGCCCAGATTCTATCAATTGGCATATACCCTATGGACAATGGGCAAATTGTGACCCACCTGTAACCTTACAGTGGAGGAACATCTTGCAATCTTCCTCTACATTCTAAAGGGCCACTCCAACCATGAAACACAAGAACAGTTCCAGCACAGTGGTGACACAATATCAAGGTGAGTCCATAGTATGATTTGTACTAGATAAGATCTGAATTGAGTTGTAACCATCAGAGTGTTTCATTGGGTGCTTGAAGCTTGTATCTCACCACCTGTCTATGGATCTTATGTCAAACTCCCAGGCCATAATGCTCCTATCCCACCAGAGATTCATGGCCAGCCAAAGTTCTACCCTTTTTTCAAGGATGCACTTGGTGCCATTGATGGGACTCATATTGCTGCTCTTGTGCCCACCCATATGCAAGCCCCCTATCAAAATTGCAAGGGATTTATCTCACAGAATGTGCTTGCATCCTGCAGTTTTGACATGTGCATTCAATATGTCCCCAGTGGCTGGGAAGGCAGTGCTGCAGACAGTTGCATCTATCATGATGCTCATGAGAGGGATTTTCACATTCTCCCTGGCAAGTACTATCTTGCTGATGCAGGTTTCCTCCTCTTGTGATGCTCTGCTTGTCCCATATTGTGGGGTCTGCTACCATCTCAAGGAATGGGAAAGATCAGCAAATAGGTATGTCATCACATGGTTCTTTATTCATGTACCAGCATTGAATGGGTATCAGACCTCAGAATCCAAAGGAGCTATTTAACCTTCAACATGCATCAGCTTGCAATGTAGTTGAGCACATATTTGGTGTTGCCAAGCATTGTTTCCCCTCCCTGAAAACACTTCTTGAATTGTCCATCAAAGTGCAAGCCAAGGTAATTCATGCCATCTGCTTCCTTTTCAACTTTATTTGCACTCATGATCCTGATGACCTTGGAGGAGAAATATCCCCTGCAGAAAAGACTAGGGCTGACAGATGATGAGACAACATTGCAGATGCAATGTAGACAGAGTATCAGAGGTATCTAGCTGAACAGTAGGTACAGTTGATCTAGGTACTCAAGAATCAGAGGAATAGAAATGTTCAAGCTGTTTCTGTAAATAAACTGACTGGACACCCTTCCTCAAGCTGAGATACCCCTCCACAGCAGCCCAACTTGTGCCAAACAAGTCAGCAACATCAACCATCTCATTATCAGACAGACCTTCCTCCTCTGAAGCAAGGTGAATTGTGGCCATGCATCACTGTGGGGATGTCACCAGAGAGGTTATGAATGAAGTGCCTCCAGCTGGCGCCTCAGTCATTGATGATGATGGCATTGCAGCCACAGCATCAGCAAGGGACAATCATGCATCACTGACAGAGGTAATTGCCTGGGGGCCAGATATATGGCCATGGAATGAGGTAGTCACTGTCCTCTTGGCTGGGGTTTTTGGGAGGGGGGAGAGCTGCATTGCAGAGTGCTTGTGAGACATGGGTGTCAGCTTATTCTGGGTCAGACAACATGTTTAGTGAGCAAGAAGTATTCACACTTACCTCAATTGTATTATCCTCAGACTCCATGTCCAAGTCAGTAAGGGTGGCATCACCTACATCCAGGCCACCAAGAGCATCTACAGCTGAGATACAACTAACAGCATGAAAGGCTAGACTACCAGTGGCAACTACACCATCAAGGAGCTCTGCAATGCCATCATACAGAGGGAATGGAGTGGTCTGCCAACACTTCGCACTCTTATGAATCTATTGATAGTTGTCAGTATAGAAACAGCCAGGTAATGCAGACTCACTTCAATGTAGGCATCCAAGACCTCCTTTGTGGCATGCACCATCTTGGTCTCCTCATTCCACCCAAACTCAGATGCCTTTGGAAGCTCCTTGACAACACCATAGTCCTTCTTGAGCTGGGGCATTCAGTCAGCATGATAGACTCCTCGACAACCAAACTCACCTTGGCCCAATGTGTTTTGCACTGTTCAACAGTTTTCAGAGCTCCACCTGACTTGGTTTCACTGCCCTGAAGGGCCTTCTCACCTCAACCCAGGCCTCGTGCTTGAATCCACTATCTGTTGTGAGTACATTGTCCTTGGCTTCAAGGAGCTTTCTGACAAGAACTGACTCATCAGTGCTGGACTACAATGTGGCATCTGCCTCTGTTTGTGGTATGGCTGTGCCACCTGTTGTGCCCAGTTCAGCTGCAGAAACTTGAAGCTCCTTCACAGACTTTTTGGCCATAAGGACTTGGGACAGAAGGTGACAGGAAGACAAACAGAACAACTATGCTCTGGTAAAATAAGGGCTACCAAACAGCAATCAAAATTTTCCCTCATGTTGTGACATTTGACAGACCACAATAAGGCCTGTCAAACACTCATCAGGCAATCTTTCACTTAATCAAATTTTCATGATTTCATTTGAGTTTTTTGCAGGAAAAATCATTCTTAATTGCATTACTGAATGGGACCTTATGGACACCTCACCCAGGACCCTGTCACCACAATACTGTAATTCCTAGTGGGCTGTGGTGACTATGTAGGATCTGGACCTTCACAAGCTTCAATGCATTCTGTCAACTGGTTTGCTAATTTCAATGGTTCAAAACTGCAAATGGAGCCAGTCTGGGTGCAAAGGCACATACTCATTTCCCGTCACAAAGTCACTTTACAGGACTTTACAATTGCTCTCCAGCACTTTGCAGCCCAAACCGGTCTGCAGCCTCAAGGCCTATTGGGCCCAGGGCATTAACATAATTGCTTAGGGCAGGTTAGCAAGGTGTATGGTGGCAGGAGCCCTTGCCTGCCTTCATCCTCCATCTTTGATGCTCGATGCCCTTTGATTGCTGTCATTGGTAAGTCCTTGTCAGCAAGCCTATCCCAATGTTTCACCCAGTTGATGGATCATTATCACTTGAAGGTCAATTCAGTCCCATTGGATGGGTCTGGTGGGCAGCCCATTGGCCATTCCCTTCACTTGGCAGTTTGGCACTGGATGTCACATCTATGCAGCTGTTCTTGAGCTGATTGTTGGTCCCCTTCAAGATTTTCAAGATCAGAAGGTTTGACTTGGCCTCAAGACTGTCCTTTCACATACTGATCATTTGGTGAGCCACATCATCAACTTCTGCCCTTCCCCTTCCACTCATAAATTTTGAAACACAGATCTCATGCATTGAGTGTGTCTATTCTTGTGACACCATCCACCATGATTCTAAACTGGTAAGTAGACTATGCTGACCTATTTGTCAGCTCAGTGCTATTCTACTTTGTTGCACCCCTTGACCTCCTGACAAGTTTTTTTTGTCATGTTCCAAAACTATGCAGGTGCTTGAACTGTGGCCAGTGAGTAACATTTTTTTCTCTGCTGTTGTGTTGGCCTGGCTGTGTTAACCATAATTAGCTTCTTGCTCCTGCAGCAAGGCAATGTACATTTGACAAGCTTGCTGCTGAGAACTTTGGCATGTTCAGTGATGGAGTAGGTGCCCAGTTGCTCACTGTGGGCTTTAATGCCAGGTTAGTGGCTTGCTTCATATGGTCCCTTTCATCCCTCACAAACCCCATTAGCACATGGATGCATTCACTGCTTAACATGTTTTTGTGGCACCAAGCTGGCACAGGACAATCACACAAAATATGAATGATTTTCCATTGCCTTTCTTCCATCTCTCAGATGCCACTCCACCTGTACTTCATTTTCGATGGGCTGGACTTCCCTCAGCTCAAGAGGGGAAAAGATATAGTGTGCACATGCTATCTGCCCCTCCTTGTGCAGCACTTTCAAGAGCTGCTGACAGCATTTGGTTTCAACTGGCACATGGTGAGTTGTTGACTGTACACATCACTGGGTGCTAACAAAGCTCACAAGGCTCCTGGAGAGGCAGAAGCAGAACTTGCCTGCCCCCAGTCATGTGCCCTCATTGATGTCATGGTAACACCATACAATGATGTGCTGCTGTTTGGTGTGACTTGCATCATTCACAGGTAGGTCAGTTCAAACATGGAGATGTGGTCATTTAGCTTACCACAAATAGTGGCATCCCACCATCTGGCAAGTATGAAGACATGCAACTCTACTCATCAGACACCTTACAAAATTGCACCAGCCTTGAATGGGGTGACCTCCTCCTTGTCATGCTGATGAGTAGTGTAGATAATGAGGTAAGTGCTGTATTCAGTGCTCTGAAGATGCCACTCAACCTCCTTCAATTCATTAGACAGGTTGCTGGTGGTGCAGCATGGATGTTGCCCACTGATTGGTAAATTATGGCTTTGGAAAGACCCTCTTCAAAGCCATGATCATGCTTCAGTTTGTGGAGTTCACGGAGTTTGTTGCCAGGTGGTGTGATGATGTCTGTGAGGTGCTATGAACAGATCCTCAACACCTCCTTGGACATAGGCACCACAAGCTTGCCTGTATCATTCTGGAGGAACACATTGAGTTCCCTGACCCTGCCATCTTAGTGATGTATCTGTTACCTCTCACCTCATGGTCAGAGGGTCACCATCCCCCCATTGCCATTGTGAGGTCTTGTCAGCCTGATCTTGTGTCACTGGCAGAGTTCTGTTCACAGTGCCTTGGCTGGTTGCCAGATACCATCTGGTCCTGATTGATGGGCACTTGCGCTGGTGCTGCTATGCACACACTTCTGCAGGTTAGTCTTGCAATTGTGCTGGATACACCCACCCCACCTCATCATCCACTGTCCACAGCTGCCAGGAAATGTTGACAGCAAGTGGCTGCAACATGGCCTTCAGGTCCTGAGCCATTCTGATAGGTCATACAAGCTCTCTGTGCTGAATTTACCACTTGAAACACCAGTGGACAAAGATCTGTTGCCTGCCTACAAGATAGAGATGCTGGCAGTCATGCTAGAATACTCAAGGCCTGATTTGGTGGAGTTGACAGTTAACCTTGCTTGAGAAACTGGAGTCATTGACCTGGTAGGTGGTGCAGATGCACCACATCTTGAAGCTGGAGTTATTGGTCTCATGAATGAGGACTAGCCATTTTCCTAGCACACATTTCTATAGCATTGTATCAGTTTGTGAGTGGCACAATTACCATGTCTGTGTGAGCCTACCTTGCTCACTTCCCCACCTGCTGTTGTGTTTGCTCCATGCTACTCCCAGTCTGCCTGCCCAAGCAAATGTGACCTGCCTTCACATCACTCCTGCTGCCTCAGTTTGTGTTGTTGCCCAGATTGTTATGAACTCAGTTGCACTCGCCGTGGTCTCCTAGGCAATTCTGTAGGTTCAACCCATTATACATACTGACTTTTACCCAAAGAGAGGCATATTCATTGGCTTCATGCATCTGAAAGGAACAAAGAAAAAGGTAATGCAGTTCATTCCCAAGGCTGGGTACTACAAATTTTGGGAGGTATCTGATGGACCAGAGATTAGCATTCAGGTGGGTATTGTTTTCAGCAAGTTCACTGTCTCTAATGATTATGTATGTTTATTGCCCTGTCATTTTCCAGCTCTAGGGTTCACTGGAAACCCTATAATGCCAGCAATCTGTCTTCTCAGTTCACACAAGTCCCACTATCTCCCCACTCCAGGATCCTCCCATCTCATCCATTTCACCCTTCCCACATACTATATCTGGAGACTGCCCACAACATGCCTACCTCATTCCCTGTGACTCCCAATTCTGCAATGCTCACAGATCAAAATATGCATTAGGTTCAGTTGGTGTGATACAATGTTGAAGGTATGGTCAAGCAACAACTTAACCTTGCTTGTGAATGGTCACTGTAGGATCCAAAGGTTAATATCAATGTTTTGCCAATGTCTGTCTGTGTCAGGCAACAGAGTGTAGGAGGAAAGTGTATACCATTTGGCAGGAGCCCTCCTTCCACACCACAGCTGGTTGAGAAGGTCTCATCAACATCACTGTCTAAAAGGTGGAGATAGGCGATGTCTAATGACATCTGCTATGACGGTACAGTGTGCAATTCATCAGGTGACATCATCCAGCTTATGTACAGAGAGGATGGGATGCATGGTGTGTTCATTGTGCACCAGAGGATTGACATGTTTGGGCTTAGTGACAGGGAGTTGGAGCAGTCACTCCAACCCTACCTCTGCCACTACCAAAGACTCCACATTCATTGAATCCTTCTTCACCATCCCAGATGATGAGGGGAGCATCAAGATGAAGATGGAGCAGGTTTTGGAGACTGATGGTGTCAACTTGAAGGTGGTGATCTGTGTTCCAGGCATTGACTTTATTTTACTCACCTAGGTCATTATGAACTCAGTCATGCTTGCTGAGATCTCCTAGGTAACTGTCCCTACCACATTTGCCTTCTTTACCTGACCAACTTTCTGCATTTCATATGGATCAACCCACAACACATACTTTTGCCCAAAGGGCACCCTGTCATCTTCCCACTCTCTGGTTTGCTGGAAACCCAGTAATGTGAGTAATCAGTCTTCTAGGTCATGCACATCCCCCTCTCTCCCCACTCCAGCATCCTCCATCTTGTCCATTTCACCCTCCCCACATACTATATCCAAATAAACATAATACTTTTTCCATGCCATGGCTGGTGAAGGTCTCATCGATACCACTGTCAAGACAGTGGGGACAAACTATATCCAATGACATTTTGTCAACATGCTGGAGGATGTCATAATCCCCTCCCCTGCTTTCTCTACAGCCCCCCACCCATGCCCATTGGTGTCAAATATCTGTCAGCCAAAATCATATCCACATTGTCTTTGCCAGGGTACTCCTTGATGAAACACATATGTGCCTCTGTCAGCCAAAATCATATCTGCATTGTCTTCACCAGGGTACTCCTTGATGGAGCTTCAAAGTGCCATTCAGATCTTCCACATTGACTGCTGCAAGCCTAGTGACCTTGAACCAACCTACATTGTTGATGCAGTCCACCAACTTCATGGGGAGGTTAGCAGGGAAGTGCAGGCAAATGCTTCACTGACCTTCTGTATGCACGTATGCACATAGTGTAGTCACATTTAGTCACAACACATGGGCATCCTGTGTGCCAAAACACCAACACTTATATAGACCCTGAGATGGGCCTGCCTAAATAGATTAGCCAGTACACATGGACAGGCCTGAGGGACTAAAGTGAGAGCAACATATGTATGGGCCTGTAAGTGCATTACCACAACATATGGGAGGGCCTGCAGTGGGTAAGGATGTTGAAACATTTAGATGGGCCCATGACCAATTATGTATACTGAGTTGCTGTAAGACATGGACAGGCCTGTCCTTGTAGGTTACACCCCTGTTGCAACATCAAGGCAGGCCCACCTATCATAACATGGAGAGGGTCACAACATAAGGATGGGCCCATCTATGATTAGAATACAAAGTTGGCAACATATGGACAGGCCCAGGAGTAATATCATTTATGGTGTCACAACATCTTGACAGGCCCATTCATAATAAGCTGTACCCCTGTCACAACATAAAGATAGGCCTGTTGACAGTAAGATGTACTGCTGTTGAAACATAAAGATGGGCCCATCACTAGTATCATTTAATAGAGTCACAACATAAGGTTGGGCCTGTCAGGTGTATTATGCAACATATGGATGGGCCTGTCCACAGTAAGATGTACCTCTGACAAGACATAAAGATGGGCCTGTCAGTAATCTCATGTATAGCATCACAACATATGGATGGGCCCATCAGTAGTATTATTTATATCATCATAACATATGGGCAGGCCTGGCCCCAGTAAGATGTACCCTGTTGAAACATAAAGATGGGCCCATCACTAATATCATTTAATAGGGTCACAACATATGGATGGGCCCTTCAGTAATATTATTTATATTGTCACAACATAAAGATGGGCCTGTCAGAAATGTCATGTATAGCATCAAAACATATGGATGAGCCCTTCAGCAGTATTATTTATATTGTCACAACATATGGGTGGGCCTGGCCCCAGTAAGATGTACCCTGTTGAAACATAAAGATGGGCCCATCACTAATATCATTTAATAGAGTCACAACATATGGACAGGCCCTTCAGTATATTATTTATATTGTCACAGCATATGGATGGGCCTGTCCACAGTGAGATGTACCTCTGATGAAACATAAAGATGGGCCCATCAGTAATCTCATGTATAGCATCATGGATGGGCCCTTCAGTAGTATTATTTATATTGTCATAACATATGAGCAGGCCCAGCCCCAGTAAGATGTATCCTGTCAAAACATAAAGATGGGCCCATCACTAGTATCATTTAATAGAGTCACAACATATGGACAGGCCCTTCAGTAATATTATTTATATTGTCACAACATATGGGCAGGCCCAGCCCCAGTAAGATGTACCCTGTCACAACATATAGATGGGCCCATCACTAATATCATCTAATAGTGTCACAACATAAGGACAGGCGCTTCAGTAGTATCATGTATATCATCACAACAAATGGACAGGCCCATCTAGCAAGATGCACCCCTGTCACAACATAAGGATGAGTCCATGTATGGTATTCTTAGGCAGCAGAAAGAGAGATCCAAGCTATCTACATAAGGGTGGTCCATGTAAGGCATTGTCAGGCAGCAGAAAGGGAGATCAAAGGGATCTACATAAGGACAGGCCCATCCATGGTATTCTCAGGCAGCAGATAAGGGAAAACAAAAGCCAGTGTTACAACATAAGACAGGCCAATCTGTCCATCACAGGATTACAAACCCTTGGCACTGCATAAGACAGGCCAATCTGTCATATCATAGATAGCTCACCACAAATGGATGGGCCTATCCATAATTGGGTTATCCCCCTGTCACAATATAAGACAGGCCCAGGAAGACAAGAAATGAAGAAAGTGGAACCTCTCACACTATAGAGTATCTGAATTTCCCACTATAAATTGTGTTTCACATTGGATGATTTGCCTATTTAGTTGGAATCTCAGGTGCTGGTCTATGTAGCTGCAAGCCAGGCTCTGCCATTGGAGCAGACAGGAAACATGCAAAACAAACAGCAATGCTATTCCAGAACAATACATCATATTTTTATCTGAGCCTCTACTTCATATATGCATTCAGGATTATTGACTTGTACCAGTAGTTGTCTTGGTCAGGGGTTTAGGGGTTGAGGGACTTGTTTTGTTTCTTGTTTTGTTTTCATGTTTGTACCACTGGACTTAGGGGCGAGCAGCCACATTGCTGACTAAGCACATGCATTGTGTTCATGCAAGTTCAGTTTACCAAAAAAAATCCATGTCACAGGCCCTCAGTAGTAGGGTGATTTTGTCTTGCATTTTGGTAAGTTTTTGAAGTTAGAATTATTACTTTGTGGAGTACCCAAAGGGCCAGGAGGACTGGCAAGAGGTATTAGACAGGCAGAGCTAAGTATTCATTTCAGTTCGCATTTTTACATTTTTACTACACTTCTTTCTCCAGAGAGAACCTCCCTTTTGGGTCGAGCACTATACTCACCCATTTACTGATAATTACTATTTCTAGGTATCTTCTATTACCTATTCCTACACTGCATATCTTGTCATCTGTCTTTAACCTCTGACTCTTCCACTCTCCAATCACCATCACCACTCTCACTGTCAAACTACTCCATCATCTCATCATCAGAAACATGATGTTGTCATCCTCTTGCAAGCTCTTCAAGAAATTGCCTGAGCTCAATGCTGCAGCCAACCACATCCTTCAAATTTACTTCAGGGATATCACAGAAAGCAGCAAGCTGGGAAAGGTGGACAAGATTGCAAAGTGGAGAGGTGCCAGTTCCTGCAGGAAAGGGAGCCAACCACTCTGGAAGAGGGCAGAATCACAGCCAGTGAGTTGGCACAATTGCCCTTCAAGCTAACAAACAAACTAATTTTCTAGTAATAGATCTACATGACAACTTGATGAATCAGTTCCTGAATGAATAGGAACCAACTGCTCCCCCAGCAGATGGTATGAACATGGATCTACTTGAGCAATTGCTGAATGTGCAGGAACCATTGGCACTGCCAGTCATGCACGAGAAATTAAACAGGATGGATGGGTCTTCAACACCTGCACAAGATGTTACTATGCAGTCAATTTTCTGGTAGACTTGCAGAATGTGTGGGAACTGTCTCCTCTGCCCATCACCTGTGAATCATCAAATCTGAGGGACTGATCTCCTTGACCTGATTCTCCAACTAACCTGCTTGCATGTGATCAGTGATATCCATTGATTATGTAGGTGAACTTCCATCCACACAGCAATCTCTTCAAATGGAACAATGGGGATTGGCACCTGTTCCACATTGCAATCAAGGTATGGGCATGAGCTTAATCTGATACACCTTTGACATTGATGATTTTAGTCCTGCACACCTTACATGCCACAGTATCTTGCTACTGCAGAAACACCACTCCCAGCAACATGCCATTTGATCCCACCCTTGATAGGCACCTTGTGCAGGCTGCAAGTGCCATTGCAAGAGAATTGGGCACAGCTGCAAGGGACCAGTATGGTGCAGCCTCTCAGGGCATTTGACTCATCAATATGCTTGATTTGATGGAAGTTGTTCATTATCCATGTTCTGCCTTTGAAAATTGTCCTGAGCCATTCATCACCAGCCAATCACACCCATCTCACCAGTCTGTGGTAGAGATGGGTATCCTCTACTTGGCATGCCAGATCAAGGTGGCCTCTGTACATCTGAAGCAGACTGCCAATATCATGGGGTGGCCCATGCATTGGTTTGCAAACCTAGCAATGGACTTGGTAGGTTTTACATCAATTTTTCACAATGTGGGACTGATACATAGTTCCTTCAGAATCAGCTTAATAGCTTGATTCTGGTGATGGTATTGCATGCCAGTTATACTCCTCCCCTCCTGGCATGCTACCATGCATACCTCAGACACCAAGATAATGAGGTTAGCTTCTGTGATCAAATGCAGCTAATTCCCCTTAGTGCATTTTGCATAATCAACACTATCAGCACCATCATCCTGCATTGGACCCCACATGCAGCTGATCCCAATTCTGGCTTTGCATTCCCTTGGTGGCTATATCATTCTGAGGAATATGCGGCAGATTCCCAAAGATTGCAAGGCAAGGGATTGTTTTCTGTCACCTGGGATTTTTTTAGGGTATGCCACTTATTCTTGTTGCTGCAAATAGTTGATGATGGCCCAGGGCTTATGGCCATTGCCTGAGGTGCCAATTGCAGACAATCTTGATGGCCATATTGAGGAGCAGGTAAACTACTGCATCAAAAATATTCAGAAATATGCTGATGTTGTCAATGGTCAGGGTCAACAAATTGACCATTTCTATGCTAGGTGGTGGGCATTACATGGGTTGTTGGGCATGCCACTTCAATAGTTTACATGTTTTTGACTGTGGATTTGGTTGTATATACAACACTGTGAATGTCAATCATTTATGAGATACCACCCATTTGCATGATGTCTGAACCCCTGCACATCTGTGCAATGTCTGACAATCCACCCATCTGCATGATGGCCTGAGTAGGTTTATTTTTTTTGCAGTTTATGATGCACACCCTTTAGCTCTGAGTACCCACCCAATCTATGATGTCAAAGCACCTGCCCATTTGCAAAATCTTGGCAACACCACCCATCCAAAGTTCAAGAGCCAGCATATCCTAATAAAATACAAGAGCTGCAGCACCATACAGGTGACCCTGGTCACTGCACACATGAGAGAGGGGCATGTGCGAGTGCCCAAGACCCACCAAATAGTCCCCAGACACCAGCCGAACACCCAAGGGAGGGAGTCAGCACTATAGCTGCTAAACAGCAAGCAGCGGAGGAGACGAGCTGCAAGGAGTCAGGTGGGCATGCCGAACCCAAGGTCGCAGCTGAGCAATGCAAATGTGAGGCTATCGAGCCAGCGCTGGACCTAACTCTTCAAATGGAAGCACGCACTGCCAAGAATTTACTACGAATGCCTACAAAGTACAGTCAAGCTAAACCCCCTATGACAGACTGCATACTGGAGTCACCAACTGAGCGGGGACGAGTACCGCTCGAGGGGGAGTGTGGTGGTAATGCGAGCAGCTATGCAAATGGCCAAAACACGAGTGGAAAGGATCTTCGACATCACGCAAACAAGTCAGCTGGTAGTGAGAGCCATCAGCACATGATTATGAAGATGCTGGAAGTATCAAGGGTCAGCAGCAGAACAGTCAAGAATGGGAAAGACGCACCGAAAGTGGGAGCACAGCCAGTAAATGCTGGAAACGACCAGGACAGCAGTGGCAGTTGCAACACTGGCTCGCACAGAGTCGAGGACGCGTCACCACCCATGGCTGCAACTCAGTACACCTATGGAGACACCCTCAACAGGCCAGAGCTGCACAGCAGTGCACCTGGAGGCACAGGACTGCGCGTCGAGCAAGATTGCACATTGGCAATAACAAACGAGACCTGTAGGTGTCAGTACACACCAGAGGAGCACCCGAAGGAAGGAATTGGCACTACGGCTGTTGAACAGCACGCAGTGGGGTCCAGCGAGGTGCAAGAGGCCAAGATGCTGTGAAATGAGTGCAACCGTGCACCGGCAAGACCACTCGTAGGATGTGTGGAACACCTTTGCAGGACCTCTGTACTGAAACATCGATGTGGACATATCAAGTTCGAGGTTCCAGGGCAAGCTTTCACTTTCGAAGGCATCAAAAGTCTGCTTGAGGTGTTAGGCACAATCACGCCCATTGCAGCAAGCATAGAGAGCGAGACGCTCGAACCAGGTGACGACAACGGCATGCCTAGCAGCGGCAATGGCAACTCAGAGCGAGTCGGAGAAGCGGTGCTACCTGGAAAGGCTAGTCAGCATGACAGCCGAAGCACGAACACAAAAGATGACATACCTGCATCGTCAAAACCACCTACGGAGCATGTGGAGCACCTCCATGGAATCTATAGGCCAAGGCATCGACGCGGACACATCAAAATGGTACCTAAAGAGGTCAGTGGAGTCGAAACGAGGCAAGATGCCCCCCCAGGATCCATGTTACCATACCCAAGCCCTCGTGAAATGCCTTGAGGCATGCAGGACCATGCCAAGTCAACCTCAGGACTACAAGGACACATGGACGGCCAAACAGTATATATTCGAGCGAGCAAGCGCACTCACAAGGCTTGTGCAGTGCTGGAAGATGCGACAGGACGACGTGCGACCGTACGCAGCGCGATTACATAATCAGATGATGCGCCAACATCGCACGCACACAAGTCAAGCCGCACACCCGAAAATTCGCATATTTCGTTGCACATTTGATTATACATTTGGTATATTTCGTTCCTGATACTTTGGAATATGTTTTACCTTTTAGTTTTACCCTGTGCCGTTTCAGGGGGAGTGTTGGAGTGAAATGACCTCTGTCCTTACTTGGACTTAGGCACGTGATTGTGTCGCTTACATAAGCTGTTAGAGCGCACACATACACTAGTAAAATTTACCTAGTCCCTCAGTAGCTTGACAGACTACTGAGGGTGAGTACACTTCTACATAGATAGGTTATCCTTACTAACTTGTATAGTTCCCTACAGGTACTATACTCAATATAAGTAGCTTGACAGACTACTGAGGTTCCCTACAGATTCCTCTCTGGGTTTCCCTCTGCAACCCCACAAATTTCTTCAAGTACACTTCTACATAGATAGAATACCCTTACTAACTTGTATAGTTCCCTACAGGTACTATACTCAATATAAGTAGCTTGACAGATTACTGAGGTTCCCTACAGATTCCTCTCTGCATTTCCCCTCTGCAACCCCACAAACTTCTTCACATGAGTTATGTGAGTTGATCATTATGTCTCTTGGATGACATATCATGTCTATGATTTGCCACATACCAACAGTCTGCTTCAATTCATCATTTAATTACTTGATAGGGTGCAGATTCATTCTCTTCTGCTGTGCACATGACTGCATTGAGGTGTAGATTACTTACCGAGCTTGTGGGACACCAGAGGTGTGTTTGCAGATGCTATGTAGTTGTTGGATGGGTCGAAAAGTGATATCTATGAATATGACACTGGACACAATGAATTTGCCTGGAAGCCACCTTCTTGACAGTGCTTCATTCAAGCACAAATACAGTGGAGTTAAAGGATATGATGGTAGCACAACATCCTGTGATTCCATTGTTCTTCATGTACCTGTCATAGTCACTCAATCATATTCATATTGGTGGATGTGATGGTGGGACAATGGCATGGTACATCTGAGTCTGACAGGGAGGGGATAAGGGTGGAAGAGAAATACATATAAGCCTGTAGGGGAGGTATTATGAAATCAATCAAGGACTGCCTGAATGTGCTGGTGCCTCTCTACATTCAAATCAACCTCTTGCAGTGCAGCCCTGATATGATGAGTCAGCACAAGCATGTCAGCCACCCCAGTACTTACCATCCTTCCTTTGCCCACTGAGAAAGCTGATTGCACAACCTTGCACCATGATAGGGATTATGAAGGATGTCATTCAACACCTTCATCATGCCATGGAAAATGGAATTGTAAGCCTTGCTGGAGAATTGAGGCATCATCTTTCCTGTGCTGTTCTTTGCAAATCCATCCAACACACAATGATACTGTGAGAAAAGTTTGAGTTGCAGCAACTTGGGGTGTAAAATAACTCACTGTGGCTGTGATGAGAGCCAGACAGGAAAGGGGAACTGAATTGTTGAAGGACTCAGGATGCTTATCCATGATTCAATAGGTCCCAGTATAGTAGAATTGTATGACAGCTTCCTTGAGGGTGGGGTGAGCAAAATTCCTGGTTTTTCCCTGATAAACCAATCCATTAGTAGTGCAGACAATGAACCACATGAATGTACATTCTCATTGAAACTGTCTTGCAGGAAAAGTGAGTTGTCAAGGAGCTTTGCAGCAGCAGTCTCTATCCATTGTACATGAACCCATGGTGCAACATCAGATGGAGGGATAAGGTTGAATGTGGATGGTGTGGTTGCCAGTGTAACTGACTTCAATTCTGAATGCCAGGTAGATATATCACCAAGGAGCTACTGGTGGTATGTCAGTAGCTGTAACTGAAAGATGGGACTACTTACAAGGTACACCATATCTTGCTTGTGGTCAGGCCAGTAACCTATAAAGTTAGGATAATGAGACACATATAAAGTGAAAATATTGTTACTCACCATCTTCAAATTGCATACCACATTGATTCCACTCAACAATGACAGTGACAAGTGCCTCTGTTATGGAGAGGTTGAGGTTGTGAGATTTTGATGGGAACAGGTTAGAAAATGCATGTGCAGCCCTGCATTCTCACTTAGTGTCTTCAAGACAGTCCTTCCATACTGCCTTGTAAAATCTCAGTTGTGAAGGCAATGGGCCCTCATCCTTAGCTTTCTTGGAGTTATGAGGGGCTCTGGTGCACTGAGATACTTTGTTGACTGAGTTGTGCACAAGGGTCAGAAGATCACAATCAGGAACAGAAGGATGGCCATTAGTGCAATGGTGGCATTTAGGAATGTTGACAACAGTGCCATGTTGGGAACCCTAAAATAACAATCTGAATAAATAAAGCTAGCAGGAATGGCATTTTCATACCTCTGGCTGAGCCTTGTCCTTGGATTGTAAGCTTCACAGAGCCACATTGTCATCCTCATCACATGAGTACTGAAACTCATAGTCAGGGGGTAAGGAATTGTGGTGAATAGGATTGCTTGTTGTCATTTCTTGGGAGAAGCCTAACAAAGAATGTTGAGCCAATACCATAATAACCTCTGACACATACCAGGATGAGTTGATTGCCTAAGATTCATTGCACCCCATCCAAATGCATTGTCCTCATCTTTGTCAGACTCACCACTGGAGACCTTGCCAGCCTCTGCATCTGATGGGTTATTACTTGAGGACTCCAACTCCTCTTCTGAGGAGCCCTCTGATGACAGCTTCTCTGAACTCTTGTGGCAAACATCAGCAGTTGCCAAAGTTTGTCTTGATGAGAGCAAGCTATCAAGGGAGGGGTTGATACAAGAGTCAGGGATGGTGGCAGGCAGCTGGTGGGGGATAAACCAAGACTGGTAGTTGGGCTGGGGTGTTGGCAGATGAGATGTATTACTGGGAACTTGGTCTCCCTGAATTGTGGCAATATAAGGATTATTGAGCACTTGAAGGTCAGGTTCCATCCTGGGAGGCATGATATGACCTGGCTGTTGAGCCAGAACACTGAAACCAAAACAATGGGAGTCTGTGGGGTGCTGATGGAAGACAGGTGTTGCTACTGCTGTTGAAGACTGAGGGATGGGATTCTGAAATGAACATTGTATATCAGTATGAAAAGACACTCACCAGAGGCATATCAGCTGTGCTAGGACCATTCACAATGGGAGGCACATAGGGTGGTGGGTGACATTGGACTTTGCAAGTGGTTAGCTTGATATTTGCAAATAACTAGAACTGACCTTTGGTGTTGCATTCTGGCCAGCACTGCAGCCCCCACCCTTTTTCTGCCAAGTGGGTGGAGGTGCAAGAGGATTTACAACAGAATTGTTGGGGAGATCTGTTGACTTTCATGGCTGTGTAGCTTGGCCTTCAAGGGCAGTACCAATCCACTCCAATTGCTCAGCCCTTCCACCTGAACCTGCCCCTGCCCTTCCACTATGATGGAGTCCTGCTGTGGCAACAGACTGAGACTCTTTGAGATCAATGGGGGGCTTCCTAGATGCTTGTTTTTTGCAGGTTGAGTGCTTCCATCAGCCTCTGGTCATCATTTGGCTTTTTTGCTATCCTTCTTTTTTGGCAGGATTGTTCCAGATTGGGTGGACATTTGAATGTACAAGCAGTTAAGCAGAGAACAGTATAAGATGGAAGCCTGGGGACCATGATGAAATGACATCTTGTGAATCCATATAAACATTGACAGGTTCATCATGAGATGTAAAACAAAACAATGCATGGAGACAGTTACCTGCTGCAAATGAATTGAAACACTTTACACATAATGTACTACTACCCAATCACATCCCATTCACAAACATAGTCACTCATGTCCATTTATAACCTCAATCACACACACCTTCATGCTGGATTGACCATGCCCATGGTTGAGCATCACCCAGGTGGCAAAGGACTGCCCCATAAGCCTTGTGATGGCAGGTTCTCTTCCTGCAACAGCCCCTCTAGCAGCGCTGAGGTCAAAGCAGAGACAACCGGTGTCTTAACTGAGATATATGGAATATTGGAGTCATCCACTCACACAGTAAGTTCTTTTTTTCCTTCCTAATAACCACTCATTGATAGGTTTTCAATCTGCAGCATGAATCAAAGAGTCAGCTGAATCATGAGGCACTTCTCCTTCTTGATGTAGTGCACACACAATGCAAAGTCTTTCATGTGGAGCAAGCTCTGGCCACATGCATCACCCATGAATACGAATCAATGGCCAAGTTGTGCAAGTACAAGGTGGGCAGCAGTGAGGTGAGAGTCCACAAAGAAGATATGGAGGTCAGCTCATTACATGTAGCAATGAAAAAATGCAGGCTGGGGGAGCCTATTTTTGATGTTAGTGTTCTGGCCAGTGAGCTGCAGCCATCTCTCAAGTCTGATGGTATGCTATGCTTGCTCTTTTCTTTTGGGCCACTATTTTACTTATGCTGAATCTTGATAGGCACAGTTATTGAGTGTGCTGGTAGTTGAATACTTGCCATTCATCTAGACTAGTACTATCCATTACTTTCCTGTACTTATTGAAAAATGCTGTATGTTATGTCTGTGTGTTGTTGCCTTCATGCATAGGAATGAAGTTAGATCTACCGAGTTCTCTACTACAGTGGGAATCTAGGTTGATGTATTAGATAGGTGTGTCTGTTCCCTTGTATGCTAGGTAGCTATTGGTCTTTGGATTGCTGGTATCACTGGTGTGGCTTACTCAGGTGCTATGAGTTGCTTGGATGCTGGTCACTACTTTGGGCAAGTCTGGTGTAGTCTACTCTGGCACTATGAGTTGCTAGGATGCTTGACATTGCTTTGGACTAATATGGAATTGTGCAAATACTATGGGCAGCTATGAGTTACTAACACATTTTTGTGTTTTGCTGATGTATGTATCAATGACTATAATACACAGTACTTTTGGTGTAAGGATGTAAGAGTTGTTTTTAAGCATGGGAATGAAAGCAATTTGAAAGTGAAGAACAGTGCAAGCAGAGATTAGATGAGTTGAGCCTTCTTGCTGAGAATACCACTGACAGCAACATTCTCCTTCTGTTTCTGAGACTGCATATGAACCTTGGCAGAAGCTTTATCCTTTTCAAGGATGTTGGTAAATGTGGGATGAAGAGGAACTCATGCTTTCTTCTCCTCTGAAGGAGTCAGGACCATAGGGTCATAAACATTGTGGGGAAGGGGGAGTCCATGTGGCTTTCCAGGATGCAAATATTCCAGGTGCTGATACTCAAGATGGGCCTCCATGTTGTAGCACCAGATTGCTGGGCAGGTGTTGGTTTCTCAGCCTGGAGCTTTGCACAACTTGCACACAATAGGCACATTGCAACATGGACATGATTCAGACCCATTGTTGGCACTGGAATACTGAAATGACTCTTTCACAGGGCACTTTGATTCCCATTGAGTCATTCATGCAAGCAGCTTGACAGTGATTGCACACTCCAGCTCCCCAGTGCACCTGCAGAACCCACATGGCAATGTTCCAGTGATCTGGTTACAACCTGGCTCAGGTACACCATGAGTGACACAAAGAATGTGACCTCCCATGTGTGAGCACAAGTCCTTTGTTGTCTGTTCACAGACTGGGCATTGCATCCCTACTGCTTTACCCCTTGACACATTCAGCTGCTCAGTCCCACTGATGCAAATAAGTGTGCTTGTGCCTAGCATTAGATATATTAGCACATCTTTTGGAGCATACATGAATATGGACTTACCATTGCTGGCCTCGTGAGGGAAGCTTGGTGATTCTCCACTAAGAGAAGGGATGTTTGTTGTTAATGTTTTGTGGGAGTCCACTCGCACGATCTTGGTCATTTTGCCTTGGCAGGACTTCTTGCCCCAGTGTGATTTGAGGGTCAAGAATTGTCCTTTCAAGGAGAGAGGGATGTGAGCACAGATTCCTGAGTTAACCCAACAGCCAGCTGGACATTTAAGATCCCAGACATGCTGTTCATTTGCTCAGACTTTGAGGTGACCATGCATGTAGAGCATGAGATATGCCTCACTGGTGGCCTTGTTGATCAAAGTGGTGACCATTTCCTCATCCAACAGGTCCCAGAAGATAGATTTTGCTCAGGGGTATTTGCCTTCAAGTAACCATGGGGGTAATTGAGGCAATGAAGGATCCAGTATGGTCAGCTGTGTCTCTGGTATGCCATATGTATCCTCCTCAAAGAGATGGGCTGGATTATCCAATATGAATTGGCTGATATCATGTTGGAAACCAATGGCTGAGGTAAAATCATTATCATGTTCATAGCATCCAATATCTGTTATTGTAGTATTATTGAATTCACTGTCACTATTATGAGGTAATATGAATGTATGCTGGCATTGTGAGTCTGCTGTTGGTGCTTGAATCTCAGGCATGGATGTGATGCTATCAGGTGATCTGATATAAGTTATTGTAGTTGTTTGATCATTATGTTCAAGGCTGGATTCAATGCTGGGATTAATGCTTGAGTTTTGGGCTTGGTTGTGGTACTGTTTGATTGGGTATTAAGTTGGAAGGACATTATGAATGCATGGGTCCATAGCAGAGTATGACTAGGTAGTGTTGGAGAGACAGAATGTCACAGTGGTGGAGGCAACTGCAACACATCTCGACATGTCTTAGGGGCTGTATGACAAATAGGGAAGGTCTCACCCATTCCCAATTAACAATTATATCATGCTATTTTTCTGATTGACAGCTAAAATGTAGTATCTAGGAGCATGTTTATGCTGATAATGCTTCACTTTTATTATGACTTAAAGCAGTAATTGTACTGTCCTAATGTGTGTCGCAAATTTTCGAGGCACATAATAATGCTGCCAGCTGACAATGCTCGCATATTTCCTTATTAGGGTCATTAAAATGGTCTGGTAATGACATGTCAACAGCTTGGGGGTAGTGCCAAGGGAAGAAATTTCATTGGACAGGAGTTACCTGAGTTACCGAGTGATAATGATCTGATAATGACTGATATGGTGTGACATTGTCTTACATCAGCCAAACCTGGGATCAAAGGATGAACTAGTCCAGCTACGATACATCTTCTCTCATGGCTCCCTCCCATACTACCCATTTGGCTTTGACCCATCAAAATGCTGAACAGAATCATGCTGTTCTCCATCAATGCCCTCACTGTAACAGGAAATTTCAGAAAACTGATTTCAAGCAGCATGAGGTGAGTTGCAGGAAGCACAAAGAAGATGAGAGGGAGCATGTAGCTTTTGAATGTCAGTATGAAGAGAAACAGCGAGGTATGTGAATTGGTGCATAGCACAGGCAGACCCAATGTAATGGTTTCTGGCTTCAATTATTAACTCAGCTGCCCACCATTGAGCTGTGAGAGCATCAGTACTCAAATCACAGCCTCAAGTGCCTGAAGCTCACTGCACAGATACAGGATATTTTTTTGTCAATGAACCTGGTGAGTCTGATTTCCATTTATGTTGTGGTCCTAGTCTCAGACAAACTGCGGCTGCAGTCAAGGTGACTATGGGACAAGATTACAATGAGACAAGTGACATGCTCCAAGCCTCAGGTACATATTCACTTCAGCACACATTCTCATAGTGCTCATAATTCCCTCAGATGTGTTGATGCCAACTGCCACAAGTTCTAATGTGGCAAAACTTCCTGAATTCAAGATCCAATTTCATCCAAGAAGCAATCAACCACCAATTTATCAGTCTTATGAAGAGTTCCATGTTTGCAGTGAGAAGTCCCCATCCCCAGTTGACAAAACACCTTGGTCCCCATTTTGCATGTTGGGTGACTTTGAGTTTGTGGAAATTGCACTCGCTCCACTACTCAACCAGCAACAAGTCAATGCCCTGCTGGGTCTCTTTGCTCGTGTCACACAGGGAGCTGTCCAAGTCACACTCAAGAATGATGCTGAACTTCACAAAGCATGTGATGCAGCTGCAATGGAACTCACTCCGGTATGATTTTCAAATATCCATTCATTGCCATCCATCCTACCTATCTAAATAGTTCTCCAGGGTTGAAGTTAAGGTACCATACAAAAAGGAAGAATGTACATTCAATGTGGGAGTGGGCACTCAATATCTTAGAAAATCCATTCCTCAGTCCACACTTCACCTGGGACACACAGTGGCTTTACAGGCACAATGGTGTTGAGTATGAATGTTTTTATGATGAGCCCTGGATTGGAGATTATTGGTGGGATATTCAAGTATGTGCCTGGTCAATATGTCATTCATTACCTGTACATAACATGTTGTATTTGTGCTAGTTGAGTCTACCAAATATCAAGAATGCCATGTCATTTGGCCTGATCCTTTATGCTGACAAATCCAACCTATCATCTTTCAGCACTGCCAAGAGTTACCCTGTCATTGTGCACTGTGCAAACTTGCTGGTTGAGATTTGGAATAACAATGTCATTGGCAGAGGTACTGTTGTCAGCTGCCTGCCTATTGTGAATGACATCCACTGTTTAGATATTTGTATAGGCTAAGAACATTTCAGGTCCCCAAAGATGCTGAAGAAGAGGGAAAGCTAGGCTACACAACCCTCAAGCATGTTGTTTGGCACAAATCTTTTAAAAAGTTACTTCTGGAGATTGAGCAGTACTCAAAGACTGGGTATGTACATACATCTTCACATGACAACATTGCCCGTTGGCTCTTTCTGAGTCTTATGATGCTGTCTGCCAATTTTGAAGAGATGTAATATACTTCCTTCTTCTTGCTCGGACTAACGATACTAACTCAATGGCCTACTACAGATGCATGATGGCACTCACTCATGGTTGTGGTGGCAAATGCCCTTGCCCTGTATGTCTTGTACCGTCAGAGCTACTCCATGACCTCTCTAGGACTTTTGAACCTCATACACACACCCAGGGCATTGATGTGTTATGTGTTCATGCTACAAATCGAGCCAAAGGCAATGAATTGCTGAAGTGGTTAGGTTTACAACTGATCGAAGTAAGTTTCCACCAACAAATCACCATCAGCGAACTAATATATAATGGGATGCAGAATGTGTTCTGGCTGATTGGGTTTTCTGATCTCCACCTTGCCTGCAGCTTTGATTGACTGCATTATGGGCATGGTTTTTGGGGCAAGCATGTCTTTGGGGACCTAAAGGTGATTGTAAAGGCACTCAGGTGACAGATTGAAGCCAACATTGAGAAGTAGTGAGTCACTGTTTTACAATCAATTGCTCTGAACATTGTCACTTCTCATGTTTGACAATGACAGTGTTGCAAGTTTTCCTCACTGGCAAAACCTCACACACTTCAACCAAGTTATTCATGTCACTTTGTCAGATGGTAACAAGCTGGCTGATATCTCCAAGGTACATGTGTCCAATACTGGACAGCTGTCAATGAACTGTTTCCCTAGCAAATCTTCTACACAGGGATCAATGTTTTGAAGAAGAGTATAACCCCCGAAGGGTACCAGCTCCTCTGAGTCATCCGAAGCTACCTACAGCTTGATAGCCTCATCAGCTTAGATGTCCAGACCAAACATATGGTTAACATGATCAACGACAAAATATTGACATTTGATCAGACACTGAAGGTAGTTATACACTTCGTGCTCATGCCAATTTGTTGTAATGTGTCATTTTCAGGACTACACCAAATGTGTCGTGAAGTCCAACATTGATGGTCTGTGAACTGACTGGAATTTCCCGAAGGTCCACCTCTGGAAGCACATTGTTTGAGATATCCACCTAAAGGGTGCCACATGCAACTATAGCACTTGGCCCAACGAAAGTATGCATAAGCCAATCTGAGATGCATATGAACACCATTCGAACAGTAGAGACATTCCTGCTCAGGTATGACAACCATGTGTGCCAACACTCCTACTCACAGTCACTTTAAAATGCATGTTAGGTCTTGTGGGTAGATCATCAAGTTCTTGCTACAAAGCTTCTCAGATTGTGTGTTGATCACCTTGAGAAACCTGTCTCTGGGGAATCAGATCCAGAAGTTGATGCGGTCAGTGAGCATACCTCAGTTGATCATATTAAGCTTGGTGCACATGTCATCACAACCCAAACCCTGAAAGACTTGGAGGAAAATGGTCAGCCAGATATGGTGTTCCATCAGTTCCATCAAAGGTTCTGTGAGTTCCTTAATGATGCCCTTCCAGCATATGGATATCAAGTCAAGTCATGGATCTCCCTCCCTACTGACTTCATGGTATGTATCTACACTCTCATTATGTATTCATCTAGTTGAAACTGTGCTTGTGCTAAGGTTAAAGAATACTGTTATCTGCTGGTCAACTACAAGTTGACTGTCACTTGGAACCAGTGCACAGATTGTTCCACTGCAACCTGTCATTTTTTGGTGTGCCCTGCTATGACTGTGCACTTATTCAATACACCAAGACAGAAACTGCCTTCGTTTGTCTCATCTGCATGTTTTCCTGTGTCATTCCAGACATAGGAAACATGGAATTTATCTTGGCACAACCCTTCATGACAAGGATTGGACCGGCCTGCACTATTGATTGTGATCTCAGACTCAAACATGTCAAGACAGTTCCATGGGCTGCATCCATCTTCATACCATTGTGCTCGATCATCTGAGGGGCTGTTCTAGCACCTGACACCAAATGTGATGACGAATTTTTTGTTGTTGAGCAGCTTGATAGTGATATGTTCCTGTGGAGACAGGCAATGTGGGTTACTTACCATCTCTAGTGGCCTTCCAACCAGAGAATTTTGAGCACATTGCAGATGTCTGTTCTGACCCATCACTGGTGTGGAGGGGGAATCAAAAGTCATGCCTCACAAGAGACCAACAGTCAACCATCAGCGAGGGGAATTTGTGAATGAGGCACAAGGTGAATTTCATATGATGCGAGAACAGAAGCTACTAATTTAAACAGATACTGGACAAATGGAGACTGTGAGGATGCAAGAGCGCTGAAGATACTTGAGGTGGATACGCTACTGACATGAGTTTACAGGCATACAGTAAGGCATCAGGAAACAGAATGAGCATTGGTGACACTTCACACCTGCAGATACAATGGATGCATTGCTGGCCAGTCAAGGTCATGATGGAACACATTCAAGTCAGATGAGTATTGCGAAGTTGAGCATACCCTTTCACCTTTGTATCCAATTCATCATGCACTTACCCACTGACTTTTTTCCTTGGTGACATCAGATCTTTGTACAGAATGCAGTATCTGGTCTTGTTTTTTTTCACGTTCACATGCACATATACAAAACTCACAATACATGTGGTGAGCAAGATGAAGTCTGTGTACTTGACCAGTCCCTCTTTGCAACTTTCTGTCCTGCCCATGATTTGACCCACTATACATGCTTTTTCACACTCTGTCCCCATTCCATTATGTTGAGTAGCATGGCATGGGTGTCTGCAAAGGTAGCACAAGCCATTGCTGCTGTATCTCCTGCTAAGACCATCCACATGCCAGAGTAAGTGGTACAACCTAAACTGTTTCCAACATGCTAAATGTGCAAGACCATTCGATCTTCATTCACTGAGGGGAACCTGCCTAGCCTTCCACTCATGCATGAAGTCATATCCTCGTAGTGAGTACCTGCTTCTTGGAAGTATGTGTGGTGTTGATGTCGACCAGACCTTCTCATCAACCTTCTGGGTATAATCTCAGCACAGCCAGAAACGATCCGATGGATTACTTTAGAAGAAATCAGGAGTAAGGCTGCCTTCTACTTCATACATCTCTCAGTTCTGTCTCATCTTCTGACTAAAGCATTTCCTTACAGTGAATGTCACCCTCTTCTTAATTCATGCCCATAGATGCCCCCAATTATCACCACTTTCCTGGGGCACACAGCATCTGACTCGGTCATGCAATCATGCCATGCCTCTAGGACTGTGCACCCACCAGCAGATGCACAGCCCACACCTCAATGGGCATGACCAGCTCAATTAGATGTCAACAGCTCAACTCAAAATCACTATGATTCTGTGAGATGACCTTATGTGGATAGCAGGTGGTTTGAATGTGTTGCCTCATGGGATTTGGTATTTTGGCAACCCTGAAAATTGCGCTACAACAGATTTGGATCTGAGGAGTCATGCAAAGTTAGAGGAGGTGGAGAGGTTATGGAGAGTGCCATGGAGAATGTGGCCAACCAACAAGTTCCAGATGGGTGTGAGATGTGGATTTGGAGGAGTCACAAGGTGTTGGCATGAAGTAGAAAGAAGGGTGTAGCTATGGGAGACTTGATCATATTTTGGGTGGATCATAGGTGTAGGTGGATTCTGAATGACACACCCACTGATGGTGGGGGAGTTTCGGGAGAGAATGATCATGAGTTGTACTCATTCTCCTCTAGTTTTGCACACTGATCTGGTGCATTGGCAGGCCTAGACAACAAGTACAGGTACTGGTCTTATGTTGAAACCCATCCCACCCATGTGGTTCTCTCCCAAGGGTCCCAGCAGGAGGCTGTGGACGTACTACATTGGTCCTACACAGATTGGCTGCTTGCCCATCCCCAACCAATTCAGCCACCTTTTAGTCAGGAGGAGTGTCAGGAACCATTGAGACTACTCAATGGTGAGGCTGGGACATTTCCATTCAGTTCTACTTGTCTGATTCTTTTTTTGACAGATCCGAGTCAGCAATCCACTATTTTGTACACACACATGGTCGCTTGCATTCTTCTATGCACTGGTGAGTTTTTGCACCATACCCCTCGCCAGTGTTATGTTCTTACAGGCTAATGTTCTTCATCAGCTCATTGGCATCAGGTTAATTTCAGGCCACACAAACTGCTCCCATGAGACATCATCACTGCACACACATCAAGGCAGACCCCAATGCTATGCATGGCAGTCAAGATATTGATTGGTATACTGTGCCTTGGCATCCCATTCTTGTTCATGGATCGAGTGAGATATAGTGGCCATTTTGATGTGGAGGGGAATGTAAGCATGCAGAGTAGTGTGCCACTGTTTGTCACTGGTGCTTGTACCTGTCTCATGGTGAGGGTTACTCATTATGATGATAGTTGTACTCATTACTAACTTCTTTTCCTTCCCTGCTTTCTGCTTGCGCAGTCTGCATTATCCTCAGCACCTCTGTCACACTTATCTCATTCCTGGGACTGGATGGTATCACACACATTGGAGGTCCAGTTGCCATTTCATGTTCCGTTCTGAGCATGGTTACATCTTTCCTGTCTATTTTCCAGTATAAAGCAGAGTTGCTGCAGGGTTCTGCAGCTGTTCATCATGCAGCTGCTGCTGCCCATGAAGGATTCATATTTCTCCCAGTGAGTTTGCAGTTCCCCATTATCACTCCTATCCCTAACTCATCTCAAACCACTTACAGTGCCAAAGCATTCTGCTCTCTCTTCCACTAGTTTTTCTTGCATATTCTGTGGCTGGGTTCGTCACCAGCATCATTGTCTACACTAGAATCTGTAACATTACACAAAAAGAATAAAACAGCTGTAATATTATAACCAGAAAGAAAGCAAGAAAAAAGCTCCTGAAAGGTCAGTTTCAGATTCAAGTTAATGTTGAGTCAATTCACATGACAATGCCATGACCTTGCATCATCACATATAAGTTATTCACTTGCGATTCATACTGCATCAACATTGATCCCCAGAATGCATGGTTGATTACATATCAAAAGGGACTAAGGTGAGCAACTTTCATACCATAGTCACCTACTGCTGATGGCATTGTCAAATCGTGCTTTATTATGTCCTCAGACTGGCTCAATAGCTGGTTATGTCCAACCACTGACATCCAACCTGCTGATGGACCACCATGTGGATTCCCTGAGGCTACTACTATGTATGTATTGCTTTTTTTTGTACTATTCAAAATTTCTGTATTCATCTAAGAGCACCCAACTGGCAGGTGTCGACCTCCATCAGGATTTGCGACATCCATGGCCCTTAATAAGGAGAATAAAGGGAGGCTTCCAAAGGTTTGCAACCATCCATGTGTGGCCTTACCATTTCCTCTGATCCTTGATGTCCATTTCCTTCACTGATATGGCACCCAGTGCTGCTTATGATGCCTTCAACTCTGATGCTGAGGATGGAGGTCCTGAAGACTTCAACCTTGACGAAGGGATGGACAATATTGACTTGGAAAACCTGGACAGTGACACTGAACAGCACAGGCAACTTACCCATGTTCCCAGACCTCAAGCTGATGTTGCTGAGCTCCAAGTGGTATGTATTTATACATTCTTGTTCATGATGAGTCACCAGGCATTAGTGCTGACATGATGCTAGGCTCTCAGTGTTGTGCAATGAGCATACACTGAATGCCACAAGGAACTGTGCCAGACAAGGAAGGCTCTCTTCAAAGCCAATAGCCAGCATTCCAAGCAGTCCAGGAACACATCTAGCAAGTCAAACAGCCTCATGACTCGTATTGAGCAAGAAGCAAAGAAATACCTCCTACTGTATCATTTTTTCATCATTCAAAGCCTTTTCCCAGCAGCTCCAAATCCCAATACTGATTGACATGATCCAGCATGGTGGAAATCACAGGATGGGAAGCTCAAGGGTGCTCTGACTGAGCTTTATGAGATGATTCCTGTGGATTTACATGAGTCAATGGTAACCTACAAGCAATTTGGCTCTGTGGTACATGTAATTCTAACCTTGGTGACCACTAATGTATTAATTTGTTTTAAGTTCATACAAGCACACAGTCAGGAGAGATCCAATGTCCTCAAAGTCATCAAGGACTGTGCTGGCATGTTATTCACTCCATATAACATTTCACCAGATCTCTTTACTGGAAAGCCCGCTTGTAAGAAGGACAACAAGGCATGCCTGGTGCTCTTGAAGAAGGATGGAGTTGGAGAATACACCCATTTTGCACCAATTCTTTTTGCAGATCCTAAGCAGATGGTTACTGGGGGCTTCTTGAGGAGTCCCATCCTAGTTAAGGTAAGCATGTGCAGTTCAATGCCACTCTTATTTGAAAACTGATTTCAGCCCATAGGTTATCCATGTCCTGATGTTTGGAAAATCGATCCTCACAGAAAACAAACATGGATGGCCCCCAGCCAGGGGTCAGAAGATGGGCATGCTGAGCGTTACTGAGGGCCTGATTGCTGGTGCCTGCATCTTGGTGAGAGTGTCCATGGTCACTGTGCTAGTACATGCTGATGTCAATATCATACCAAGGTTCAATTCCTATTGTTGCATGATCCTGAATTAAGTGCTACTGGTGCAGAAACGCAGGTCAACTACCAATCAGAATACAATTTCTACCTTGAGAAGCTTTTCAAAGCATCTCCTTGGGCTGTCAGCATGATGAATTTCTTCAACCAGGAAGTCTTCAGGAAGGGGTCTCAATTGGCAAATGTTGAATCCAAGGTATTTGCTAATGTGGAGCAGCTGCATAGTTGGGAAGATGAATTTTTAGACAAACTCAACAACATTGACCCCACTGAGAGTCACACCCCACCTGTTTCCACACTGCATGACCTCAATGCCCCTGGCAGCCATGATTCAGATCTACATGACTCCAATCTGTCATCAGTCTCTCATGCTCCATCACCTGTTGCTGGCTCAGTCACTCATTTCAATCCCCCTCACTCTCATCCAGCTAGTGTCACTGCTGCACAAGCTGATCTCGGTGCTCAAACTATTTCTGGTGCTTCTCGTTGATCGTCCCCTTCTATCTCAATTGGGCAGCCTATTTCAAACAGTGGTGTTGAGGTGTCAGTGGTGACCATTGCTGTTGGTCAGATGAACATGTCTGGCCCAGCTGAGGCTGAAACATCCCAATCCCAACAAGCAATTCCAGTCATGAGTTGCTGGCACAGCTCAGCCACTCAAAAGGCAATTCCAGCCATTCCCAAGGTGGTTCCCAAGGGTCTTACAACTGATATTCATGCTACTGAACCAGGTCTGGAACCCACCTGCCATGGTCACTGTGCTACTGCTACAAGGTCCTCAAAACCAAAGAAGATGAAGGTTTGAATTAATAGCAGTACCAGGTGTCACTTATGTGCCAGGTTTCTATATGTTCTATGGTCTTTGATTTAGCTTGCATCCCATTATATTAGATGCAATTCATGTTTCAAGGTCATGTAGATCTACTTGTAATACATTCATTTGCTGCAATCATACATCGTTGCTGTCATCCTCTGGAATTACCTGATCTGATTTCTTCTAAGTCATTCAAACTCCACTGGCTATATTATAAGTGACTCACCCCTCTTCTCATGCCTTGTTGTCTCCTGCATTGTTGTCCTGGTTCATTGCATTGTTGTATGGTGTTGTCACTGTTATCCACCCCATCATGCTCATTTGTTGTTGTCTGTCACCTGGGGAGTGGGTTCAAGGGTTGAGGTATGTTTCCCCAATGACACTATTATTACTTCTGATGTTAACTTTTTTCAAGGTTCCAGACAACTTGTGACAGTGTTGTGTGTCAATGCCAGCTCCATTGTCCTATTGCTCAATGCTATGAATGCCTCTCATGCAACACTTATTCTATCTTCCTCATCCCATCACCCCATATCACTGCTCCCATTGGTTCACTAATCTCATAAGTATTTTAATTACACTATAAGCTATGATCTGATGGTTGTCAACAGCATATGCATTTGCTTTTGTCCTTGCATCATCATTGCAATGACCCCCATACTTATGTTGAGCTGCTGTCCTTTCCTCCCCTTACTGCTCTTAGTCACTCATTGTCTGCTTTGCATGTCCACTTGCACCACTGGCATTATTAGGTAGAACTCTCCAATTATTACTACCACTCGTCTATACATCAATAAGTAGCAATTTCTGAATGGAATTTTAACCATTGTCATGAGTGTACCAAGGCAAAACGAAATAACAATGGATCGTCAAAATATTAATAAATAATAATGGTTAGTATACATTGTGATGAGTTCCACTGGTATTGCTATGGGTTCTTTGCCATTGTCATGCTGTTATAAGTACTTATTAGGCCACAGCAATATAATACCATGATTAGGTAAAATAATGAGTTATCAAAGTCATAATCATGAGATGACACATGATTTCAACCACATGTTCATAGAAAGTGGGTGGCATTACAAGTCATTAAAAGGCAGCATGGGAAATCCGCTCCTATTAAGGTATGCTAATGACTTGTCATGGATCTAGGAAATTTGCGACATGCTATACAGACTTCGAGTTTGACACTGCAAACTTCGCGACTGTGGCTGAAATATGGACCCCAGACACCGATTGGGGGGGGGGGGGGAAGTCAGAGATGACTTAGTGTTCGGCATTTGCCGATCGCCCGCCTCTTGATCCGCGTCGTCCACTCACAGTCCTCCAGTCCAGCAATCACAAATATAAAGAAGAGTTCCTACAGGTCTGTCCCAAGTAATCGGAGATGTAAAACCTGATGATGCTTCCGTAACCAGTGGGTACTGGCAAAGGCAGTGGCACTGCGTCGGCAGCGCTTTGGGACCTCGAAGGGTTGTGATGGAATTTATGGACTTTAGGAGCTGAAGAAAACATAGATCAAATGTTTTGTTCCGTTTCGAACCTTTTCTTGTCCGACTCAGGTGCAAGTGAGCGACTTACGGCCAGCCTCCGAGGGCAAAGGACAATGAAGTCGAGGGTAGAGAGAACGGAAGATAAAATTTGCGGACTTGTCGAACCGGCGAAGTATAGACTGGATGTTTCGTTTCGAAGCTCTCCTTGTCCGACTCGGGTGGAGGTGAGCAACCTACAACTAGCCTTCGAGAGCAGTAGAAAACGGAGAGCCCTACCAGTGGCGCATGCTTGTTTTGAGTGATAGGTCTATAACCAGAGGATGGCAATGACCCCGGATATCGATTGCATGATGTCAAGCCCATGTGGCCGAAGGGGGCTGGTCACTTAGGACCGGGAATATCGTTCAAGTAGTAACAGAAAAGAGAATGATAAGTACCATAGGGATAATGTAGATGACGGTATATCAAACACGTCCGTCATAGAATGGACCTGACTTGGCAAGCGTTCGAAGGGAATCAACTTCGGCATCATTGCCGTCTTTTCCAGCTGCTCGCTTGGGAGATGTGCTGAAATCATCTAGTTGTATTGTTGTGGTCTCAATCGTAACCACCATCGTTGACGATGAGAGAGGATCGACCTGTGGTCTTTTCCGAATCGGCTGTGAGCCGATGGTGACTATGGACTTGAGCTCCGGCAGAACAGGGGTTGAAGTTTCTTCAGTGCTGATGCGGAAGAAGAAAGCGACAACTACGCTCAAGTTCGCCACGATCAAGCTAATTGATACCTGGTAAACAAAGGATCGAGTCTGCGCTGTACTGGAATGACTAACGGAGCGCAGAACCTTACCTCAACAGTAGCAGCCATAATTGCTTTCAGCCCACCATCAATAAGCGCGTAATATGCGTGGCTGAGGCTGACGACAGTGGTAACAACAGACGTCGAAAAAATAGATAGAAGTCGGGTCTTCTGAGCCTTGGTGAGCTTGATGTTGTATATAAGACGGAATGGTGCCAGTATTAAGATCGTGTCACTGAGCACGTCAGCTGGATGGTGCAAGTAAGACAGTCCATCTTGTTCGTGCTGCATACAACAGACTCACTAATTACCTGCGCAATGACAACGTTCCTACCTATATCACACTGAGGACGTGGTTGCGTTTTCCAGCCACTTTCTGCTTCACAGGTCCACAAGATTTGCGCGCCAAGGATCATCCATGTAACCATAAACACAATAGCGGTGAGCACCAGCGTTCTCCTGAACGCGCCAGGGAAAGTCAGTCGCACGACCATGTATAGAATGGAGATCCTAGACGACCTAAAATCATTCTGAGATTGCTCGTGATCGGAGAGACGAGATTGTTATCTCACCAAACGACTGCATAGGAGAACTGTGCGTTTCTATAAAATATGTTTGAGCATGCTGTGATGCTGGTTTGTTAACGCAATGCACATATAATACAACGCCACCCTCGTATTTTGAAGAAATCGAGCTATTGTAGTACAGAGTCAGCAAGACTTGCTCTGGCAGAAAAGACGACATCATCACCGTAGTCATCCAGATACAACCAGCCTGCTACCATCCAAATAATATTGAATACCATTGCAAGCGCAACCCATGCATCGTCGAACCAGAGACGGCGTTGTCGTGTCCGGACGAATAAACGGAATGAAGTGACCACTGTCGCAGCCATGGGCAACACCGTACCGACAACTTTAGATTCGTCAGTGGCATCCTAAGTAGTTCTGAAGGTCGCTACCTTCGGTTTGTTCGATTGTCGGTCCAGAGGACATGTTAACTTAGGAGGAGGGGGGATGGTGAGGGAGGCTCAGAACACTACACGTATTATGTCTGATGCTATTCTTTGTACGTGTAGCAAGATCCACTTCTGGCTCCACTGGTTTCTTGATTGAATGGCGGGGTGCTGTGCACGTGGGATTCATCAACACCGCTCATACTGGTCGAATTACTTTGTACAGCCCCCTCCAAATAGATCATGGTGAATTGAAGTCATACACACCTCCATGTCCGAGAACAATCTGGGATACTGGTCTGTCATAACCGATTCCAAAGCTATCTGCCAATAGACTTGCCAGTGACTCTAGAACGAACATGTCAGATATCAGATTTGTTTTGGTCTCCGGGATTTGCCCGTTCCCCTAAGCCCCAGATCAACCAGCACGCATCAGATTTAGTTTGTTCATCAAGGTACGATCAAACACCACTCAGTGATGGAGTGGACCTCTGCTTCCGCAGACATGCCATGAGGTTCGGTCGAATGAGGCTGTTGGGCCTTGGCTTGGGATTTGGTCCTTGCGTCGGATGCGGAACAAGTTAGAAAGCAGCCGTCGAAATCGACGGTAAATTCTTATCCACACTGTATTCTCGAGCAGTGCTGACGATAGCACCCTCGTGCAATGACGCGGTTGTCTATCTGGGCTACATAGTATGGCTTCTCGTCGGTGCACAGCGTGCGCCACGTCCATTAAGCACGCGTGTACGCAGGAAATGTGTTCTCTGCAAACTGCTTCTACAGTGCATCGCAGTAGTCTCTGCGTATGATAAGTATTTGGACTGAACCGCTCTGCGCACACACCAATCATCTCGGAGAGGTCATCGTTCTGCCTTTCCGTGAATCTCCCCACATCTGGAGGAAGGGGCAGTAAGTGATCCCTTTCCCGGATCCCACGATTTCGGTCGTTGCCTGCCTAGAGACTCAAATTTGGTAGTCTCCCGGATGATTGGCACGGTACGAGATAAGGCACCACCGGATGTGACCTGGCCATGGTTGTGCCTTGCCTTACGAGACTCGGGCATAGTTGGTCATGAAGAGGGAACGAGCTAATCTGTCTCGCAGGTGGAGAGAGGCAATTTTCGACACTCCGGCATTTGGACTAGCGTCATCATCCTAGCCCATGGTTGTGTTAGGACACTCCCCACATCTGCAATAGGTACGTCCTTCGACGGACAGCAACATGGTTCAACCATGCAAACAGGTGTCCGGGTCTATTCTGTTGTCGTTTCCCAGGATGGCCGGTGGATCGCGTCTGGAGACTATAAAAACAGGGCGATCCTCTGGAATGCAGTCACTCATGAGAAAGTGCGCGAGTTTAGAGAACACAAATCGGCTGCATTTGGGGTCGATATCTCGAGCGACGGTACTAAACATCCAGGCATTCAGCGTCCCTTCCGGTGACCGACTCTTCCCTCCCCTTCCACAAGATTGCGTTGGTGTCAAATTCTCTCCGGACGGCACTCGATTTGCTACCATCGAGTATAATGGCAATTTCCGTGTCTACAGCACCAACAATGGCAATATCTTGTTCGATTCAGGTCGAAGCGATTGTATCTGCAATTATCCTAACACTCCGTTGACTTGGTCGCCTGATGGCCAGCAACTGTTCATCGCGACCGCAGGAAAAATTACCTTTTTCGACCTTTCCAAGTCACTCTCTTCAGAATGGTCGATCCATGAAAACAAAACCCAACCATCTATGGCATCCAATGGCAGATTCATTGCATGTGTTGCATGGTCATCGGTTTCGCTATGGGATTGTGTGTCTCACGAGCGCATCGGTAACATTATCACACACGCCGCATCGGTTGCGTCCATGGCTCTCTCACCAAGCGGGCGGTATCTCGCATGTGGAAGTGGCAGGAATATCGTGGTTCACGATCTCAGAGATATCCTTCCCATTAGGTATTTCGACTACAGTGTAAGTGCACATCCTCTCATGAAGCCCACTTTGCTTACCATTATCATGCTAATCTTGTACCCGCTTTAATCTGTCGCCAACTTCGTGTTTCTCAGCTTCTGCCTCCGCTCGTAGATGTGAGTTACGAGACCATTGAGTCGTGGACACAGGTCGATCCGACGCAAACCGAAATGCTGCTGTCAAAGGAGATTACGAGTGCTTCTAGCCCTAGCCACTACATGCTGGCAAACCGTGCACTTGTACAAACACGACTGAGACATTTGGCACCTGCGATAGAGGATGCCAAGGAGGTGAGTCCGCTTCCTCACCGCTCCATGTGTATGGTCGCCCACATACACCTCAAGTCCCTCCGGATTCGGCCATCACCTATCGGCCATATCGCGATGGCAGTTGTTCCACTTGCCCAGGGCGATCGGGAGGGCGCTCTATGCACATTTGATCTCGCATTTCATGATTGTGAGCTGCACGACCACAGAATTCTCTTACTACTGAAGGTGTGCGAGGTGATCTGCATCATTTTCACAATTAATCTACGTTCCACTCAGGCGATCCTTGTGTTTGAATCCGGAAATCAAGAAGATGGGGTAATGCGTGCAGAGCACCTTGCCATGATAGCGGGCAAGGACAACAATGTCAACGGCAGCTACCTTTAGACTCAGGTGTGTGCCTCGAGTGATGCAGATGTATATGCATCACTGCTGACACATTTCGCAGGTCCTTTCTGTCATTTATATGAAGAAAGGGAGTTGCAGACGTGCGATATCGTTGACCGAGCACGCGAAGAGCCTGGCTCCCAAGAACAAACGATGCCCTCCATTAATGACGATCTCGGTCGTAGGTCTTCTGTTGTTACGAGCACTGCCTATCGATTCAATCCTCCATGAAGATATTTGGGTGGAGTTTCAATGGACTCGATATTGTTGCTCAGCAACGTCTATGTGAGAACCTCTATACTGAAGGACGTACAGCCGAGGCCACCGACATCCTCCTCGGTATCATCCGGACATCAAACAAGGAGAGAAATGAAATTGTGGTTTGGATCGCGGGTATGTCTTATAACTGCTAGTTGATGTACACGTTCATGTCTGTCATCAGACTTCACCAAAAAATGTGCTGCGATGCTTGAGCATGTTGGCGACGATGCTTTCGGATCTTCAAAACATGACGACGCAATAACACAGTACTCTGCTGCGCTGTCCCTCAATCCTTCAAGTCTGGTAAGTCTACTTATCAAACGAAGCAGAGCTCGAGCGGCGAAAGAGTTGTGGGAGGATGCACTGCAGGACGCGAACAAGCTATGCATGGTATCTTCATTGTATGAGTGGGTTCCCTTACAATTGTTGTATAGGCGGTGAAAGCGGATCCTTCCAGTCCCTGGGGCTACGAGGCCAAGCACGTGGCGCTTCATGGCGCGAAGCAGTATGACGACGCGATCGAAGCTTTCAAGTCCATGCTACTCAGAATCGAACAGTCCCATGACCTGGAAACCATCCGTATGCACCCCCTATATAAAGCTAATACCCACAAATAACGGGTTCACAGAACTCCGTAAGAATTACAATTCACCGTCTGACACGATCGCGGCTATCGATTCTATCGTCTGCGAGATCTGTTGTCCCCTGGTCGTCATCGACGTCACTACTGGTTGCCTTTGCGACGAGACTAAGCGGATGAGTATATTCAAGGCTAATCCGACATTCAAAACACTTGTTTCATCCATGACGGAAAAAGTGGACAGGACGCAGATCTGGCCGGTGGTCGAAAGTTTTTTCGGATACACCATGTTCTCGCACGCATGGGAGGGGAAGGAGCCATCGTTTCAGGATGTCAACGTAGTCAACTCCGTGTGGGACCTTCCCGACACGCCCCTAAACAATAAGTTGCGTGTTTTCTGCCAGGAATCGCGCAGGCTCGGCCATCATTGGGCATGGTCCGATACGTGTTGTATCGACAAGTCCACGAGCTCCGTCCTTAACCAATCCCTCACTTCCATGTGCAAATGGCACACGAATTCGGCGGCAACGCTTGTATTCCTTGCCGGTGTAGCCCATCCGTCCAAGCCTGGGGACCTTACGCGTAGTTTCTGGATGACCCGAGCTTGGACTTTACAAGAACTCCTCTCGCCGAAAGTCATATTTTTTTATGACTCCAAGTGGAAACCATACCTCGGCATTACCGGCGTGAACCACAAACAATCTCCGAGGATCATGCAGGAGCTAGCAGACGCTATAAAGATTCCCCCCGGAGCCATCGTCACATTCTCTCCAGACGATCTCGGGGTGCGTGAGAAACTTCGTCTCGCATCGACGCGCAATGCGAAGTTTGATGAAGACGTTGCATACTCTCTGATCGGCATATTTAAGTCTGATATCAGGCCTCACTACGGCGAAGGAACGGACGCTCTCGGACATCTCCTGGAGGAGATCGTGGCTCGCATTGGTGAGGTCACCGTACTTGCGTGGTCAGGGAAATCGTCGTCGTACAACAGCTGTCTCCCGGTTTCGATTTCCGTTTACGGCCAAATTCCTTATAACCCGCCATCACTCAAAGGGAACGAAATGGAAAGTTGCATCGCGAAGCTACGTGACAATTTTCCCAGACAAAAAGCGCGGATGATATATAATAAGATCAACCACCTGCCCCCCGCCCGTTTTGCAACCCGACGTCTGCACCTTCCAGGCATCGTCTTCCCTGTGAGAAGTCTCGAGAAGCCATGCAGAAACAATGAAAAGTTATATCGTGCCCTGGTATCGGGGCTTGGCGAAGTGGAATTCACTACCGCAGATCAGCTCTCGCTCAACGGGACACAGAAATTCGTCTTCGCGCATCCGTGGATCGATCATATCCGAGGCCTGAACAGTGGGGTTACCTGGAAAGATGATTCGGAGTCTGATCCTGGTTCTGACTCGGACGAAGTTGCGCCATCACACGCTACCCCTGCAGCTCAGGTTGACCACTATACCCAGGCACTGGAGATGATCGCTCGCCTCGGACAGCCATTCAACGCGTTGCTTCTCGTGCAGCAATTGAATGGAACGCACAAGAGGGTCGCTGCCGATCGGGAGATTGTCGTCTCGGGACTAGGAACCAACATCACCTCCAGGCACATTCGAGTGAAAGTGCTAGAAATCCTTTGACGTGCATGTGGGGACTGCTAGTGGTTAAATCCGGTTTGTATTTCTTCCTTTAGCGACCATTTTTGTGTTCGCACTTTCGTGTTGGTTCCGTAGTCTTTGCTCCTCGTCTCCATCATACCCCTCCCGACGTCGTTACATCTGTCGTATATATGCGTGGTCCTATCCGGGCCAACCAAAGCTACTCTTCGGCCAACGTAACTGACATGATATATTTGGTGGACGTGCTCCGTCCCGCGTCTTATCCAATCATATTCGTTTATGGGTGTCAGGCGCCACCGAATGTGGGGGAGATGGGGAGTCGGTTGTTGCATGGCACGTTTTTGCAAATTCTGAACGATACATGAATTAAGCTTGGTAACGCCTTCGTAACCCGAGGGACCCGGCGAAGGTGGATGTCCGTGTGTAAAGCTTTGGGATATGGAGCACGTGAAAGTTGAGGCCAGAACTTATCGGTGGAGGGGACGATGGTTGGACTCGAAGGAGTTGACGAGGCGACGATGTATCGAGATCGCAGTTCCGTTTTATTTCGCTTTGAACCCTATCCTGCCTTGTCCGACTCGGACACAGCTTACGCCTAGCCTTCGAGGGTAAAGATGGCAACGGGGGGCCCTGTCAATATTGGTCGTCCGGACGAACCTTTGGAATCGGATATCGGCCTGCGAGTTGTCCTTGTACGTCCAGCGCCCAGTCGTCTCGGAGGGAGGACCCTACCAACGTTGTGTAGACTCCGCACACGTTATAACCAGCAGTCCGAATAGTACCAGGCCCCGTCCCTTCAGCGAGCCGGCAGCCAACAGGTGGCTGACCCGGAAAGTACCTCCCGAAATCAGATGTCAGGCTCCCGACTGCGCATATAAATTCAGCACGCCAGTCGTCCGCTTTGTCCCCTCTTCTTCTCCTTCAACCATCATCAGTCGTACCACGCAACTACTCCTCCGTCCCCCTCTGCGTCACGATCGATGGACAACGCCGAGCACAGACTCTTCTCGGCATGTCAACGGACATCAACGAACCTCATGTACTCCTGCAAACGTGCTGGCCCTTCCGAGCAGGATAAGGTGAATGAGGTTAGTAGACAGAGGAACGAGAAGGGCAATTCTTGACCAAGTCTGCCATCCTGCAGAAGTACCCTCGTGAGTCGGATAGTCACATGGATATGCTCTGCCGATCGAATGCATATGCAATCCACTGTCGTGGTACAGCATCTCGATGCGTCTCGGGCTGATGAAGTCGACTGTAGGGTTGTCAGCAGTTCCATCGATGCCGTTCCGTTGCCAAACGTTGGGCCTACATGAGTCGCGTGAGTTGATCATTACATCTCTCTGGGCGACATACCATGTCTATGATACGCCATATACCAATACTGGATTCTCTGGACAATATCCTCCATGATACGGACGACCACCTGTGATCGCCAACGACTTGCTCCTCGTGCGTCGTCATGGCTTTCCCCATTCCTACTCTCATCGTTTGATCCATTGATAGGGTGCCAGTCCTGTTTCCTCCCTCTGAAGACCCAACTTTTTTGGGTCGACGTGAGATTGATTAGGCGAACTTGCCGAGCTTGTGGGACCAGAGGTGCGTTTTCTAGTGCCTGCGTAGCTGATGGCACTGGGTATGGAACTGATAGTTCTGACTACGGCACAGGCCATTACTCGTGAACATTGCCCTGGAGGCCGTCGACGTGGCAGGGCTTCATTCGAGCGAGAAGATAGTGGAGATAGGGGATATGACGGTAGCACAAGGCCCACCATCCTCCTGTCTTATTATTCTTCGTGCACCTGTTGTTACTTACCCAATCATGTTCATGTTCGAGGATACGATGATGAGACGATGGAGACGCCACGTCTGAATCTGCTAGCAAAGGGATAAGGAATGAACATAAGCCTAACGGAAACCTTAGTCGTTTGATTAGGTAGAATCGAATTAGCCTATATATCTACTCCGGGAGGATGGTGCCGTCGTAGACCTCTGCCGAGGCCAGACCGAGCACGGAGAACGCCGCGCGTTCAGCGTCTCCCATTCATAACTCTTCAATCCTGTCGAGAGCAAGAAGACTGGTATATCCGACAGCAATAAAGAAGATACAGCATAACTAAAAAATGTTGCATTCCGGGGCTGTCGTAGAAAAGCATCAGTTCTGTAGTGCCCCAGCGGAGGCGTGACAGAAAACACTCACATTTCTCCCGCCCATGCCCTTGTCCCCCTCATTCTCAGGTGCCGGACCGAATACCTTGAATTCATGCTCCCCACCTTCTCTCAGCGTTAACACCGACGCCATGTTCCCACATCGATAGCAGTAATTAGGTGCGGACCATACGGTGACTAGGGCATTGTCGAACATGTATTTGTAGCCTTCTTGAACGAGCTAGTGGGCGCGGGCGATAAGACTGAGTGAGTTGACGTGGTTGAACTGCGAAGATGGTGGAGTGAGTGTATGCGATGTACCTGAACGGCATGAACGACGTACCTCTCGGGTTACGTTTCTGCCGAAGAGCCAGCCAGCACCGCGGGGACTTACAGCCCAATTATCGATGTCGTCAGGATCTGACCACATGAGGTCTGCGGAGAACATGATCAAACGATTCTAACTTGAGGTACGCTGAAAGTGTACCGCAGAATGCGCCTTCATGAGGAATCTCCTGGGCTCTTGAAAGTACGCGAATTTAATCGAGCGTCTGTATGTCTGGAGAAAGTCCTTGTGTACACATAACGTTTTTCCATCAATGATCTGAGATGGGCTATAAGTGATGTTTGTCAGGGATGTGTGGTGATGGCACGAAGTATCAGAAGGAAGACTCACTAGTTCTCGACATTGGTTTCAGCATTGCACCCAAGGACATTCAGAATTCTCAAGATGTCCCATAGTATGTGCTTTCCCCATAGACCACCATGTAGAAAATTTTGGAGGATGACAAGCTGCAGGATTGTCAAGTCTATAGAGAGGAATATACTCAGACTTCAAGTTGGTTGAAGCTGAGGTGCAGTAAAAAAAATATAAACTGCTAAGTGTCCGCTTTTGGATTACATAATGCTGTGCTCGGTGAACCACAACTAAGGTAAAAGTGATAAACTCCAACATGCCCCTTCAACAAGTATAGTCAAGAAGGAATTAAAAGAAAATAATACCCATAGCTTCAGAGAAACAAACATGCTTCTCCCTAGACACACCCTTAGTCAGCACATTGGCCACCTGGTCATTGGTAGACACATAGTTGATGACTACTTCTCCAGAATCCACCTTCTCTCATATGAAGTGATGATGGATTGCAATATGTTTCGTGTGGTCATGGAACATCGCATTTCGAGCCAGTGAGATAGCAGATTGATTGTCGATGAGGAGGGGAGTGGGTTCGTGTGATGACACAGTCTTGAGTTTGAGGACTAGGGTACAAATCCAGATAGCTTCCTTCATGGCAGCACATGTGGCCATGTACTTGGCTTCTGTACTCAAGAGAGCAACAGACAATTGCTTTTCAATGACCAGCTAACAGCTCCACCAGAAAGGATGAATGTATAGCCAGTAACAGAGCAGCAGTCATTGATATCCGCTGCCCAATCTGCATCTACATACCCAATTGTGCATGCATTTGAGTCTCACTTATAGGTAAGATGGACATCGGGGGTGCATTGCAGATAGCAAAAAATGCACTTTAGCAAAGTAGAGTGTTCATGCCCAGGGCATGCAGCATGATGGCTCAACATGCCTACAGTAAAGGCAAGGTTGGGCCTCATTGCTAGCATTGCATACATAAGGGCTCTGAGAGTGCCCTGGTATGACTTGGTGTCAGCCTCTGGAATTTCTAGTTTTTTGAGCTTTAGGTTAGGCTCAATGGGGGTTGCGATGGCTCACCCCTCGCTCATTCCAAAGCACTCAAGAATACTTTCGACATATCTCTTCTGTGAGAGCTGTATGATACCTTTATCACAGTTGCAAAGTATCTCCATTCCTAAAATCCAACGTGCCTCCCCCAGATCTTTCATCTCATACTCCTGCGAGAGCTGAGCCTTGACATGCTCAATGGTTGTGTGGCACTTTGAGAGTATTAGCTTGTCATCTATGTAGACAGCAACAACAATGAGCATGCTGTTCTTGACTTTAAAGAAGAGGCTATGGTTGGCCTGGCTTCAAGTGAAACCCAGGGATTCGAAAACAGTCCAAAGATGAGAGTACCATGACTTGGGGGCCTGTTTAAGGCCATAGAGCACTCATAGCAGCTGCCAGACTTTGTTGCTGTCAGGAGGAAAGCCCAGAGGGGGGCAAAGGTATATTTCTTCATCTAATAGTCCATTTAGGAATGTGGATTTAACATCCATCTGATGAATTTCGAGATTATACTTAGTGGCAAGTGCCAGGAGTATGTGGATGGTTGCAAACTTGGTGACAGGTGCAAATGTCTCCATGTAGTCAATCCTGTGTACCTGTGTAAAGCCTTTGGCTACCAAATGAGCCTTGTACCTCTCAATTTCACCAGTTGGCCCTCGCTTGATCTTGTAGACCCATTTTGAGTCAATCAGTTTACAGCCAGGAGGCAGGGCAACTTCCTTGTACAGTCCAATGGACTTAAAGGTCTGTAATTTGTCAATCATTGCAGCATACCACTGATCTGCATCGGTGCGTCACATTGCATCATTGAACGAGCGAGGTTCATTGTCGTGTGTTGTGGATGCTTTGTAAGCCACTTCCTCATTTGTCTCAGCCACCTCAGCCTCGCTGTTGCCACACACATGCTCTCACTCTCAAGCAACTTTGTCAATGGGGCTTCCACCCTCACTCTCTGCACCTGAACCCTCTGGCACCTCAAGCTGTTGACTAGGTAAGGTTGTCCTGTCATAGGAATTGATGAAAAAGTGATAATCATCATCTCTAGGTGGTGCTCTTTGTGTTCTGGTGGACCTGTGGGTCTCTTGAGGCAGAATTGGAGTTGGATAGGGCTGTGGGGGTGTCGCTTTATGCATGGTAAGTTTTGGTGTCATCCTAGCTCGCTTTACTGATGGTTTTGAGGCTGTTTCAAGCGCTTTTTTAGGACTCTGGCCACTGCCTGGCATGTTACCCTCCAAGTGCTGTGGGGAATGATCTACCATTGATCCTGAGTGATCAGGTGTGCTGTTTGACTTGATTTCAACCTCATGGAAAACATCTTCACTCTCTCCCTCACTAGACTCAAGATTCCCATCATCAGACTCTATGTGAGCATGGCCTTCCACACCTGAAGCCCTGATGGTATCCAGGTGTGATATATTGCCCTTTTGGGCATTCCCTCTTATGTCCGCTGGTTTACTAACCATGCCTGCAGGATCTTCTTCTATCCAGACATGATCTAGGCCTGCTGCTGTGCTTCCCTCATCAAATACTACATCCCAGGATTCAAAGACATGACCAGTGGGCTGGTGTAAGCATAGGTATGCTTTCTTGTTCTCTGCAAAGCCCAGATGAATGCATTTTAAGGACTTTGCATCTAGCTTCTTTCTTTTTTCCTCAGGTATATGTATGTGTGTGGTGCAGCCAAAGGTTCAGATATGGGCCAGCAATGGCTTAATCCCTGTAAAGGCTTCATATGGTGTGACATCATCAGAGATAGCACGGGTCAGTGATTGCTTGATTAGGTAGGCCACATACTGGATAGCATCCCCCCAATATTTATTTGGCAGTCCAGTGTCTTTTAGCATCACCCACACACTTTCAACAAGTGTGTGGTTCATCCACTTGGCAACACCATTCTCCTGTGGGGTATAGGCATTCATCTTCTCATGGTGGACCCCTTTTGACTTGAGGTAGGCCTTGAACTCATCTGAGCCATACTCCCCACCTCTGTCACTCCAAAAATAATTTGCTTTTTTGCCAGTCTTGACTTCAGCTCAAGTGAGGTAGTCTTTCACTGAGGGGAAGACTTTGTCCTTGGATTTTATTAGTTTAACCACAAGGTGGTGCGAGCGAGCATCAATGAAGGTTACGAAGTAGCAGTGTCCAGTTCAGGCTGTAGTCTCCATGGGGCCACATACATCAGAGTATGTCTGGTAGAGTACTGTTGGGCTTTCAACATTTGACCTGATGGGTATCACCTTATGGTGTTGCTTCCCTTCAAGGCAAGGTTGGCATACTGAGTTTGAGTGCTCAGTGCCAGTAAGCTCCATGCCTTCAACCATTCCTGCTTTAACCAGCTTAAGCACAGATTTTGTATTTGCATGCCCAAGTCGTTGATGCCACAAGTCAAGTGTGGCTACAGACTTTGGTGCTGCAGCTGTGAGTGCTGGGAAAGTAAGGGTAGGGTCAAGTAGTGGAGATGGTCCTTGTACAACAAGTGCTCCATGACTCAGAGAGTGAGTCCTTGCTGCAAGGATGTAGAGTGAGCCTTGATGATGACCCACACCTACAGTGTCTGTACTGTCAGTGATTGAGCATGTTCCACCTGTGAAGGTGACCTAGACATTTCTAGTGGCAAGGTATGCCACTGAGAGAAGGTTTGTGCTGAGATCTGGAACAAAATAGACCTTCTGTAGTAGGATTCTACTGGTCTTCCCATTTGGATGATCCATACGAAGTTCGATCTGTCTGATCATAGTAGCAGGAATTGTGCTCCCATTTCCAATGACTACAGGCTGTGGGGGTGTGAGCATCTTTAGCAAAGTGAACCATTTCTGCTGACAGCACATATTCACAGAGGCACTGGAGTCAATGACCCAGTGCGTGTGTAGATTCTTGCCATTGTCAGTGGCCATGAAGAGCTGTAGGGCACTGTCTTCAGCAGGTGAGATGCACGCAACTTTAGCAACAAGTTTGTCCTCCTTAGGCTTATCCTTTTCAGCCTGTGATGGGGACTTGGCTGCCTCATCAGCCTTCTTCTTGTAGCAGTCATCTTCAACACAGTTTGTCTTCTTGCAATAGCCACAAGCCTTTTTCTTTTTCTTGTCATTCCTCTTTCCCTTTTTGTTAGGCATCTTTGTTACAAGGGCAGTTTGTGCCAAAGAGGTGCAGTGAGACTTCTCTTCTATCAAGACTTGGGAAATGACAGAGTCTGGAGTTAGTTTCTCATCGGACAACATGGGTATAGTGCGAAGGGTTGAGTACGAGGTTGGAAGGGAGATGACCATGGCTATGGCAACAAGAGAGTCTTCAAGGGGCTGTCCAAGAGACTTTAGGATTGTTGCCTTCTGCCACATGGCATTAAGCTGCATCTCCATCAAGATGTCATCTGCTAGGGTACCATGAAATAGTTTGCCAATAAGGTAGGCTATCATTTGTTTCCCTTTGCCTTCATAGTGCTCACATAGCTTTTTCCAGACTTCTGCTGCTGTTGTGGCATGCAGAACACCACTAAGTGGGTTGTCCTTTAGAGTAAGCATGATTTGAGCCCTTGCTTCTTTATCCTTGTAGTGCCAGTCTGCACATGCAACTGGATTAGCTGCTGCATCAGGTGCCTTCAACTTTCCTTCTATGAGCTCCCAAAGTCCACAGACATCTAGGATCATCATAATTTGGTACTTCCATGTCTGGAAATTTGAACCATTGTCTTTGAGGGATGGTATGTGATAGAGTCAACTGGAGGCTTGAGTAGCTTTACCCAAAGTGTAGTAGAGGTTACTGTTGAGGCAGAGACTGGGACCTTTGAGGGACCAGAAGTGGATGCTGACAGACCAGACATAGTAGACACTTTGTACCAGACTTGATGTGTTCAACTTTCCTAGGATTAGAACTTGCAAGCAGGGCTCATAACCTTTTGGAGGATGACAAGCTGCAGGATTGTCAAGTCTATAGAGAGGAATATACTCAGACTTCAAGTTGGTTGAAGCTGAGGTGCAGTAAAAAAAATATAAACTGCTAAGTGTCCGCTTTTGGATTACATAATTCTGTGCTCAGTGAACCACAACTAAGGTAAAAGTGATAAACTCCAACAGAAAATGTAGGCAGTCAAAGCTGAGTGCACCATAAAGGTCAGAATTGCAGATGAGCCAGAAAACATTCTGTCATTTAAATTAATGTAGGTACAATGCCAGAATAAGGACAAGAATCACAAACTTACATCAATGGGCCACAACCCAAGTGCCTTAAGCACCTTTTCACCCTCAGTGTGGCTGTGTCTGTAAATGTGCATGGCACACTGTGCCTCATCCATGGAATGAAGTGGCCACAGATAAGCAACATCATACACCTGCATTGTGTTTGAGTCTTGAGTGAGGGCTGGGATAAATGAAAGCTTATTGTTCCTCATAATCTGCAGACAATTCAATATGGCAGGAAACAACCAATGGGTTACTTGGTCATGGTGCAACATATGGATATACCCAGTTTTCAAGTGCTACATAATGTCACTGAGAAGTCTAGAAAATGATTTGTGCCAAACAATGCACTTGAGAGTTGTGTATCCTAATTTGCCCTCTTCTTCAGTGTCCTTGGGGACCTGCATGCAAAGGAAATATCTGTTTATAAAAGGTGTGAACTTCAGGGCACTGGGACAATGTATGACTAGTAACCATCCAATGACACAGCCTCCCCCAATTGCGTGGCTATTCCATATCTCTACCAGGAGGTTCACACAATGGACCACAACAGGATAGCCCTTTGCAGTGCCAAATGATGATAATTTGGTTTTGTCAGCATAAATAATACAGGCAAATGGTACAGCATTTGGAACTTCGGGCAAGGAGGACTAGTAGTTACATCAAATTACTGCTACCTAACAAGTTGACAACAAGTACACACTTGAATGTCCCACCAGCTGTCACCTGTCCAGGGCTCATCATAGAAGCATTCAAATCCATGTCCATCATGCTTGAACAAGTGTTGTGCATCCCAAACAAAGTGCAGAGCCAAAATGTCAAGTGCCCATTCCCAGATGGGTCATGTATGTACCTTGTATGTCTGCACTTCCTTCTTATATGCTGCAACAACTGTATGTTTGGAGAACTGTAAGTATGATGGAGTGGTTACAGCAAAGTTAGTAAACTGAACATGGTACTAATGTACTGGTGTGAGCTCTGCTGCTGCAGCATCACAGGCTTTGTGAAACTTGACATCATTCTTGAGAGTCACCTGAGCGGCCCCTCTTGCAACACAGCCAATGAGATCTAACAAAGCATCAACTTGCTTCCAATTTAGGCTTGCTTCCAGGGCAATCTCCATAAACTCAAAGTCACCAACACCATGGAATGGTCAGTAGGGAGTGTCATCTGTTGGAGGAACAAACATTGTCAAGCACCTTTGGAACTTGTCAAAACTTTGACAAAGTGGAGGCTGGTTGCTGCATGGGTGAAACTCAGTTTTGAATTCTATTACTTGCTGTGATAGCCAGGGGCATGATGGCTGGGATTGAGAAGTAGTCAACAATCTTGTGCCCATCATAGCATCCGATAGCACTAAAGAGGCATACTTGTAATCATCAAATAGAAAAAACTAAATTGAGGATTGCACCTGGACTTCTGAGAGGTTCATTCTCATGTGCACTCGCAGGGTATTCGTGTTCCACAAACTCACACAGTGGGGCATTGACAATGGGATTTCCTAAGCCAGTTGTGTATTTGGCAGAAGAAGGGGAAGGGAAGCCTTACTTTCATCATCAAATGAGTATACAGATGGGCCAGCCTTGTCGCCATTGGGAACAGTGACAAAACTGGAAGGGGAATGTAACATGTTGGGTTCTGCATTTTCAGCAGGCAGACCCTGAGCATTATGCATTTTCTTCATGGCATGGTGTTGTGCTGACTCAGGCATGGCTGTTGGGAAGTGGTACTTAGGACAGGTGATGTAGAATGATGCTCACCTTTTTCAAACTGCTCCAAAACTTGGCCATATCATTTGTGTTCTTGCTCAGCTTCAGTTTGTTTCCTGCAGCTCGCTTCATGCCTCTTGAAACCATGTGGCTTGAATGTCTTGTTGCAATATTCACATATCTGACCTGCTAGAGTCTTTTCAGAATATTTGTACTTCGAGTGGGCCCTTCGAAATGGCCCCATGGTAGCAGTAGTCTGTCAATTATGTCAGGTTAATAGTGAGTAATAGTGGGAAGTTAGTGGGTTCTGCAACAGATTGGAGTGATACACATCTTGAAGGGCAAGGATGGCAGTGTGTGATGGTGAAGGAATAATGATCAGCTTGGAATGCTGCTTCACTTACATATATTATAGATGTGGAGTCATTAGGACTATCCTTACAATACCTTCTGATTATCAAAGATTATCACAATGTCATGTGGCTTATTGAAATGATAGGTAAAGTACAGTTATTCTATTAGATTCCATCAGAATGGTATTGTAATGTATGTTATAATGCAATGACATGTCATTCAAGGTTGCTGGCACCATAATGGTACTGAACAAATTTGTGACAAGTTTTACTCAATGACAGATCTCATCACTCACCACACTTGCCAACTTCAAAAACATCCAGAAGACCTCACTCACATCCATGATCTTGTCTTGAAATCCTGCTTCATGTTGGTCAAAGACTTTGACTTCAAACCTGGGTCACTCATCCTTGTTCAGAATTCCCACATCAACCTAGAACTCAACTGGAAAACCAAACCATGCTACTTGGGACTGATGATCATTGTCTGACACACTAAAGGAGGCTTGTACATACTTGTGGAATTAGATGGTGCAGTCTCCAAATTCTGCTTTGCTGCTTTTCATCTATACCCCTATTTCCCATGGAATAGTGCTTGTATCAAAGTCACCCAACTGACTGGCACTTCTGCTCAAGACCTGGATCACCTTGAGAATGATTTGTTCCCAGACCCTACACTTGCTGGTGTCCCTTTGGATGAGCCAGATGAGTAGCCCATCCTCCTCCTTCCTGTCTTTCTTTTCTTTCTCCACATGCTCTTTTATGGATACCCATTTCATCTCAATAGAAACCTCACCATTCACAAGAAACACAAAAGACAATCAAAAAAAAAAGAAAAATCTTGCTCATCTCTCTCTTGTCTCTCACTGATTTGTTCTCTTTTCCTGTTCTTTACTTAGCAATAATTCCATTCAAAATGCCAAAGGATACACAAACAAAATTCTGCAGTCTATTTACACTACAGTACATGTACTCACATATCCTTGAGCTGATCCTTCAACTTCTTCAGCTCCTCATGTCACCCCTGGACTGCACTGATCTTCCACTCTACTTGTGTAGCCAACAGCCCCAGCATCTGATGGATCTGGGTCAGCTCAAACTCTTTGTCATCCACCCTGTTCTCCAGAAGGCAAATGCACTCAGCTAGAGCCTTGCATGTAGTCAATTTGCTCAGGTTAATGACTGGTGGGACTTCAAGTTCATCCTGTGTACTGACATTGGGTGCAGGAGTGTCATCCAGTAGGCCAATTGGGTTAACAAAGATCCCACTGCTGCTGAAGTCCTCAGGTTCATCCATAGGAGGGGGTGTTGGCTCAGCACAATGTCGAGGTGCTGGAATCATGGATGGAAGGAAGAGGGGCAGTTGTGAAGTGGGGGGAGGAGGCATGTTTGAATTTGAAGGAGAGTTGACAGGAGGTGGAGAAGGGCAGTCAGGAGCTGGTGCAGAATTTCGACTGGGGGAAGGTTTGTGCACCAGAATTCAAAGCTTCAGCCCTGTCATTGCTGGCCATGAAGCTGTGGCTGGAGGTGTGTCACTAGTCATTGCCACCATCACAGACTTGGTCCATTTGTGCGATGGCCCAGCCACCATCTCACTGCTGCCTGCATTCTTGTGCTGTGTTATGGTTCAGTGTCTTTGTTCTGTGTGTCACAAATGGCTTTTACTCACCTTTCTCCCTACCTTGAGTGCCTGGCTGCACTTCTGCTTGGCCTGCCTGCATTCCTCACATGACTCCCCAGTTGACCTTTGCACTCAGCCTTTGCCTTCATGCACCCCCCACATGGAAGGTTGACTTCAGGTGCTGGGGTGCCAGTTTTTGATGGGTCAGGGTTAGGTGGGCATTTGTCCTCATTGTCCTCAAGTTCATTGACCTCTTCTGTGGCCTGTGGAGTTTTGTGCATGTTAGCCATCACACACAGAGTTTCCTAGAGGGTAAGACATACCTTTTCCTTGCCCTTCCCTTGCTTGCTCCACCTATCTGTTTCTTGACCCCCCTCAATGACTGCCCTGCCTCCATATCACCAGGTGTGTGGCCTTGGCTTCCAGCTACCACCCTTGCTGCCTGTCCATGCATACACATTGGAGGTTCTCTTCCCAACCTCTCAGCCTCAAGTTGTGCCTTAGCTCCACCCTCTCCTGGTAGTCTTTGAAGATGTTGTTGATCTGGATGCACCTCTGTTCTACTGGATGATGAAGATCAGCAATGGCAATGGCTCCTTGGATTAGAAGGTTCTTGTGCATCATGCTTTCTTCACTATAGTCATGCATGCATGTGTCACAAACTTTGGGTATGGCAATCCTGTGGTCATTGACATACTTCCACAATGAGTGAATGCTGGCCTGCAGATTTTTGTCAGCACACAACACACTACTGCTGAAGGCTCACTCACCCAAGTCTTGTCCCAGTCCTCCACCCACATGTAGATTGTTTCTAAGCTCTCCTCTGGCTGGGGCACTGTCTTGATTAAATCCCAGATGTGGTGCTGTGAGTCAAAGTGTGGAAAGGTGGTCTGAACCAACCAAAACCAACACTGAAGACAAAATGTGTGCAAGTGGTGGTTTGCCTCCATGGAACCTGGAGAGCAGAAAGAATCTAATGTGGGGGGGATTTCAAAGGCAGGTGGTCCTGGTGCAAGTCAATGATGAGTTATGCAGGAGAGGATGAAAGAGTGATGACTGAGAAGGGGATGCAGGCTAGAGTAATAAACTTTGATGACAGAGTGCTCCTGGTGCAAGTCAATGATGAGTTACACAGGAGTAGACAAATGAATGATGACTTGATGGGGATGCTGAATAGGGTGAAGGTATTCAGCTGAAAGGACTCCTGGTGCAAGTCAATGTTGAGTTACACAGGAGTGGGAGGATGACTAATCAAATGTGCTGACTAAGCATAAATGACACTTCAGATGAATGGAGGTAGATAGACCCTTCTGAAGGAGTCTCAACTACCAAGGATATGGATGATGACAGATAGACTCTTCTGAATGAGCCTCAACTGTCAATGACAAGTTATGACTGAGATGAACTGAACTGATTACTGAGTGACTTCTTGATTGATTTTTGTAGCTAAGTACAGGGGGTTTATATGCTGTGGGGGGGAGTGCAACTTATGACAAATGAGGCACAAATGCATGGTAAGTAATGAGTAAGGACTGTAAGCAATGAGTAATCATGATGAGTAAGCAAGAAATGAAAAGTAAGCAAGCAAAGAGGATTGGTAAGTATTGACAACAAATGAGTTGAGGACAGTCAAAATATCACAATATGAGTCAAAACCTGAGTAAGCACACTGGTATCACATTAGGGGGTGGCAATGCATGTTAGATCTCAGTGGAGACATCACTAGATCCAAAGATGGGATGACAGATGGACAGTGTTTCCAGACAGGGAAGTATTAATTCCAGAAATGGATGGCATGAGTCAGGTGTCAAAGGGCTAGGGCATTGGGGGTCTGTGGGGCAATGGGAGCATAGGCAATCATGTCTCCCACCCATTCATCCTCTCAGCAAAGTTAATAAAAGCTTCATGAACAGGGCTCTGATGGAGGAGAGGGAGAAGGGGGGACATCTTCTGCTGGGTCTTGCAGTAAAAAGGCAAGATGCATGTCATACTTGTCATGGATGCAATCAGGGAGGCCAGAGAACAATAGATTATACTGCAGCTGTCACAATGTGGGGAGAGTGATGGACAAGATTGGAATAAAGACATTGCAGGGAGCAGGGAGGAAGGATCTGTATGCTTCATCAAGTGGGGAGACTGAAATGACCACATAAGACCTTTGTAACTGGGTGACCAACCTGAGGCAACCAAAGAATGTCCTTCTGGAAGTCATACTGACAAAGGGAACACACTGACCAAGCTGCATGGGATGGGATGGGGCTGACAATGATGGAATGAACCAGGGGGCTTTAGGACAGAAGCTGGTGGGAACACCTGGCAAATATACATAGCCACTGTCTCTGGCAAAGGAGACAAGTGAGATGATTGACAAAGAGGTGGCCATATCTGATGGACTTAGTGAAATGAGCATCTGATGGATGGAGTGCTGTAGAAATGCATAGGGTGTGAGGATCCTTTCCAAACCCAGAAGGTAGAATCACATGGCTGAGCACTTTAAGTGAGTGTGAGAATGGAGTCGATATCTTTGGAAATGGTGGAGATATGATGAAAACTGGAATGCTGTACTCAAGCACTAAAAACTTTTCATGGGTGCTTGACTCACTTCCTCTTTTCTCTTTAGCACTGACAACTCATTCTTGTGCAAAGGATGACTGCTCATGTCCAGTAGTCTTTCTATGCATGAAGGCTTTAGTTTTCATCTGCATGGCATGGCATGCAACTTGTTGACAAGTTAGGCAGAGTCAGCTGTAACCATGTCCACAACACCTTTGGTGTGTGACAGCACAAGGCTGCCAAGAGTGCCATGGTTGCCTGGTCTCTCATGCTGACAACAGGGCATGCATTGATGACAGAGTAGGCTTGTATTGTAGTTGGAGGTGGTAGGGTGAATCTGAGAGCAAAGTGGTGGAGTAGCAGGAGCAAACTAGCAATGAGACAGTTTCTGGGTGAGTTTTTTTATTTCCGCAGTGCTGTTGCTTACACAGTTTCCATGTGTGGAGTTTTCACTCACACAAGGCACACTGCTGCACATGAGCCATCATTGTTTACATCACCTGTCAAATCTCCATCACCATTCTGTTGCAACTCGATGACCTCTGACTGAGGACAGTCAGCATTTGAAGACCCTGGGAGGTGTAGGGAGTGGTACACTCCCTGAGGCTGAAACAAGGATACCAACACCAAAATTCTGCCATTACAAAAGTTGACCCCTATCAGGGTTCCACACCTGTTGCCTTCAGAATTATCACTTCAGCCTTGTGCTCTGCCTCACCTGCTTGAACCTTCAGAGCTCCCCTGTCCATCAATAACATGCACCAGTCATCATCCCAGAATTCTGTGTCAACACCAACCTGACATACATCCATCTGGAATTCTGCTGTCATGTCATCCTGGCCATTGCCTTGCCATGTGGCCAGTTTCTTGCTCTTTCCTGCACACCCTTCTCTGCATGTTGAGTACCCATTTTCTCTGCTGCCAATATTTCACCCATGGCCTCTACCTTTCACATCCTACCCTACAGTATGCTGTACACTTGCTCTGTCAGAAGATACCCATCTTTCCCCTTTTGTTTCTCTCAGCTACTACCTTACAGCTTGTTTTCATGTGATTCTGTATGGTGTCAACATCTGACATGTCTCTCTTTGATTTCTGGAGTTTTACTTTACCTGCCCCACATTTCTCTGATCAGTACCTTACTTTCCATGTACTATATAATTCCACCTCAGCAATGGAAAAATACCACCCATCTTTTGGAGTCACAATCTGTGTCTTTCATGTGTCTAAGTGTTCAAAGAGTCTTCTGTGTCCTCTGTGTCTTCTGTGTACCCAAGTCTAAAGTGTCACATGTGTCTACCATGTCTATTGCATCTTCCATGCCCTTGAACCACTCCTTGTGTCCCTTCATGTGCATCTTACTTGCCTTGGAATTACTTCTTCATGTCAAGATTGTCATTTGGAATTTCATAAACAAGTCTATTCATACCCAAATCATCTACAGCTCTGTGGAATTAAATTCTGTGCCCTACATTTGACTCCCTGACCAACTCTACCATTGCATTCTACATCTCCTTCCAACTCAGCACCCCTTCAGGATTTCCCTACAGCTTTTCCCCTATTCACATGCTACCTAGAGGTAGTGTCCCACACTGGTGTACTGGAAGGCGATGGAGAACATCCAGAGGCACATGCATTGCACAATCAAATCACTGAGGCAATGTGGATCAATTACCAGGCCATCCTGAGGGAGAGAGGGGCATGGAGCTCCTTGAAGTCAAGTCTGACATGGATGTAGATGGCACTGAGGATGAGTATAGCAGTGAGGAATATACCTAGGGAATACTGCCCTTCCATGTACATTTTTTCAATGTGAAGACTTAATTCCAGTGATTATTCTTGATAAGTCTTCTGAAACAGCATAAATTACAACAAAAAAAGAAAGAGAGACATGTCAGTATGGAAAGTATATGCAGCTACATTGTAATTCAAAGTGGTCCCCCCCAATCAACACCACCTTCCCACAGATGACCAGCAATTGATCATTGATACTCTTGGTTGGTGACAGCTTGACAAAGAGTGGTATTTGTGATGGATGCATACATCATTGCCTTCTTCTCATCTGCAGTAACAGTATGCACCACAAATGCACCTACCTCAACCAGCAGCAAGGAGTCCTCAGTGGACAGAAGGGTCAATGCCTTGGAGAGGTGGTCAACAGTACTGGTGGTGATGGCTCCATGCTGGATGGTGGGGGCAGGGGCAGGGGCAGGTGAGGTAGCACTTGCATTTACACTGTCATGGTATATCAAACCAAGGAGATTGGTCATGTGATTGACAGTGCCAGTCAGACCAAACACTGTGGTCCCAGCTGAGAGTGTGGGCAGAACTGGCTGTTGATTCCTAGGAGGACCAAAGGACCAGGCAGATGACTGACCAGACCCACAAGATGGTTTACATGATGGGGGCAGGGTAGAAGTGTACAAATTGGATGGGCCCAGAAGAAAATGTGCATCTCTCCTTATCAGTCCTACTGACACTCCCAAAAGATGTGCCCAGCTCCTTCATTGGGAAGGGAGGGTATTCTTGAATGCTGGCCAACAGTGTGCCCACCCCCTGAATCAGGACCACAAGGGGTGATGCTGGGATGCTGGCCAATGGTGTGCCCACCTCCTGAGTCAGGACCACAATGGGCATTGAGATGCTGGGCAATGCAGATGGAATTGGTACTGATGAATGTTGTAGATGAGGTCAGCTCCTCCAAGGATGTTGAAAAGTCAGAGGAGTAAGGGGACCTGTTCATACACTATTTCATTCAGGATGGTGCATGCAGGGGATAGAAGAGGGCTTTGTCAATTGACATATCTGGACAATTCCTCAAGCTGAAGGGCTTGGATGGTAGCATGATAAACCAGATCAAGAGGAGAGTTCTCATCAACCTCATGATATACAGTGCTGATGATGGCAGGGTCAGCAAAAAAGAGGCAATATGAAGTGATCATTTGATCACTAGCAGGTTGTCACTGGCAACAAGTGAAGGGGGTGTGATGGCAAGAAGGCTCATGGGGGTAGGTGTAGCAATGAGGGGGCATTTCGATGAAGATCTTTCTGAAAGTGTGAGTAGAGTGTTGAATGGGTTGTTTCTGAGGGGGGAAGTTTCTTGGGAAGCATTTTTTATATGCAGAGAGTGTATTGTTCACATGTTCAAGGTGTGCTTCCTTTTGCCATGAGTTTTTGGATGAAGGATAACCCTTCCATTTGATTAAAAAGGTGTGTCTGTGGCCTGACCTTTTGTGGCCAACTATCACTTCAACCTCATATTCCTCCTCCTCATTGACCAGGTCAGGTGGTGGAGCCAGAAAGTTTGGTCTGTGAACATCATGTTCATGATAGGGTGATAAGAGGGGGGTATGGAAGACATTATGGATCTTCCATCATGCAGGTATTGCAAGGCAGT